TCTCCCCTAGAAAAGACCAGTCTTCTCCTGGAGGGCCGAGGGATTGGCTGTGACCTTCCAAAGGCCGCACATTCCTATGGTAAAAGCCCAAATACGAATCCTGAAATGGGGAGCTTCTGGAACTCTGTGGGAGCTTCCGGAGCCCTGAGGGAACCTTCTGGAACCTTGTGCTCTCCAGCTTTGTTCCCTGGCTATGGCGGCAGCAGCGTGGTGTCCCTGGCACTGCCTGTGCTTAACTTGCTTCATGGTTTTCAAATTGTTCTCCCGGTTGCAACAATCGTATTTCTTTCCAGAATCACTGTTGGTTTTTCTCCTTTAAAGTGAAATGGATTCCCCCAAGGCCTCCCATGTCTAAGGGCAGGACAAATTCCTCCCCCCCCCCCCCCCCCCCCCCCCCCCCCCCCCCCCCCCCCCCCCCCCCCCCCCCCCCGGGCTTCACCGCAGAAACCTCTGGGTCCTTTTCACCAGCTTCTCTGGTGTATGAAAGTTGCATTTTTGCCAGGACGGTTTTCCCTTTGTTTGGAAAACCGTGATGAAGACAAATGTTCAACTTTTAGATGATTTCCTTTCAATTCCCAGACACGATATTCGCAAGCATTCTGGACTTCAAAGAAAGGACAAATGACGTCCTATTTATAATCTTTTAACAAACTTCTTTCAGCAAATCATGCAATCTCTACCTCAGCTGCCTTTAAAATTGACTTTTTTTTTTTTTTTTTAAGAAAAGGGGTTGGATTCTTTTAAGGTAAGATAGAGTGAATCCTGCAAGGTTGAAGTTCAACTTGGCATGTCTGCATCCCTAATGTTTGTACTCGGATACAGGCTACAAAACGGCTTCTGGAACAGTGAAAAACAAAATCAGGTAGGTTTCCACTGATGGCAGCTGGAAAGGCAGACCCCGCCCCCTGCGAGTGCCGCCAGGAGCCGCAGACTTTTTGAAATGGAAAACAGCCTTCTGTATCAGTGAAGAATGCGGAATTTTGCCCGGAGGGAGGCGGAAGTTTGGGAACTGGGAATCCTGGGTCTTTTTGGAGATTTTTTGCTATGTGGATTGTTGCCTTTGGACAAGACACTATATTTCTGAGATGCTAGTTTTTCCTCTCTGCATAGCAAAGCTGGGAATACTTGCTTGTCATTCGCTCTGAAACCTTAGGTGAAACATGAGAGGAATTGGTTTCTATTAATGAATAGAGAAGAACAAAGATGGGTAGACTGATGGCAAAGGGCCTGAGCTGTTGGACTAAGAGACTGAAGGAATTCGAATTCACCACGTGTGGGAAAGAGGGACCAAGCACAGAGGGACAGGAAGGATGTTGAATGTCACAGCCTCAGATTTACTATCGAGGGAATCAAAATCACGTTCAAACCAAGGTCGCAGTCCAGGTCCCAGTGAAAACACACAGTTCTGACAGCAGGTACTGGTTTTATCATCTAGTCCTGCGCAGGTCACCTTCTCCCACGAAAGGTCCTGCTCTCGTGCTGGAAACAGGCTCAGACCTCCAGCAGGGGCGGGAGCCTGACTGTGGGGGGCCCTGGGGAGGGGGGGAAGGCTAAATGAACAGTAATTCCCTAATAGCATCTCATATTTAGCTCATTTTCAAATTTCCCAATTCTCTCCAAACTCTTTTTTTAGAGCTTTTCTTTTCTTCTTTCTTTCTTTTTTGAAAACTACGATCCCATCAAGATTCATGCCTTGTATCCCCCCACCCCCACTGTTTAAATGACAAAACTAATCTAGAGGCTCTTTAGCCACTGACAAATGTTTCCATTATAGGTTTTCCAGACATTGGCCACCACTCCTCTGGGACTCTTAATGAGAGAAGCCCAGGGGCAGGCCCTTTAAACCTTTTTTTAAAACTTTAGGGGGGCACCTGGGTGGCTTAGTCGGTTAAGCGTCCGACTTTTGCTTAGGTCATGATCTCGCGGTTCGTGGGTTCAGGCCCCGCGTTGGGCTCTGTGCTGACTGCCAGCTCAGAGCCTGGAGCCTGTTTCAGAGTCTGTGACTCCCTCTCCCTCTGACCCTCCCCTGCTCACGCTGTCTCTCTCTCTCTCTCTCTCTCTCCTAGAAATAAATAAAAAAACACTTAAAAATTTTTAAAAAAAAACTTTAGGGGACCTGGGTGACTCAGTCCATTGGGCATCTGACTCTTGATTTCAGTTCAGATTGTGATCTCACAGTTTGTGAGGTTGAGCCCCATGTCAGGCTCCACACTGTCTGTGGATTCTCTCTCTCCCTCTCTCCTGCTCTTGCTCTCTCTCAAAATAAATGAACATTAAAAAAATCTGTAAGCCTCGCTTCCCTCCCTCTCATGAAAATGAGCAAATACTCTCTAAGTAAATCTTTAAACATCAAACAAGAATCTCTAATGAGACCTCATTCATTTATTCATCAAAGGAAGATCTGTTGAAGGCCACATGTTCTCAGCACTATCCGGAATAATGCCAAATATTCTAGAGACGGATACACAGCAGCAAAAACCAAACAACCAGCCAAACTCCCCTGAAATGTCTTCCCTGTGGAGTTTACATCCAGAAGGAGACAAGCAATAAACAAAATCACTAAAGGAAGGTAGAGAAGGGGATAGTGAGTTTGAGGGCAAGACTCAGGTTACCATAGTGTGATATCTGAGCTGGGGTTTGAGTAGAGAGCAGGAGATTCGAAAGTGAACCCGGAGGGGCGCCTGGGTAGCTTGGTGGGTTAAGTGCCCAACTTGGGCTCAGGTCATGATGTCACGGTTTGTGTGTTCGAGCCCCATGTCGGCTCTGTGCTGACAGCTCAGAGCCTGCTTCGGATTCTGTGTCTCCCTCTCTCTGTCTCAAAAATAAATAAACATTAAGAAAAAAAAATTTTTTTATAAAGCGAACCCTGGGGACACCTGGGAGAAGAGCAGAGGGCCCTGTGTGCTTGGATGTGTCTCATGGCAGGAGGGAGGTCCTGGCAGCCAGCGTGGCAGGGAGAGGGGAGCGTCACACATCCCTTAACCTGCGGGGTCTGACTCGTCTCCGGGTGGACAGTGTTAGGACTGAATTGTAGGACATCCACCAGGTGTCTGAGAATTGCCTGGTGGTGGGGATCTCACACCCCCCCCCCCCAAAACGCACCCGCGCACATTGTAAACTTATGGCCAGCGTCTTAGCCACACGGTTTGGACAATCTCAAATACACTCTAGGTTCAGAGTCTCTGCTACAACTTCTTGAAGGGCAAGGCCAGTTCACAAAGCAATGTATGTACTTGCATGGTTTCCTTGAAACTGACACTTGGCAGGAAATTCTGAGCCATTTGGTCACTGTGGTAACATGCCTGCTGCCTCCCTCAACGTCCCGTGTCAGGCTGAGAAATTTGGGTGAGGATCCTGGGTATGTGTTCCTCTTATGCACCGGGGCCTTCGTGCTCACCCCTGAGTGTGTTTCTCAGAGACCTCGCTTTGAGGGAGAGTTCTCTGAGGACCACCTCCCCCCGCCACACACGCGCACACACGCACACACGCACGCACACACGCACATCTTTTTGTGCAAGTCACTGTCTCGCTCTTCTCCCCTCCTTGTTGCCCACCGCCAGAGCCTTCCCCCCCTTGCTGGCACAGCGTGGCCTTCGCGAGCTTTGGCCTCCAACTTTGGGCCTCCCCTGAGGTCTGTCCACAGCGCCCCCCAACAAAACATCCTCTACTCTCGTTTCCTCTTCCACCATCCCCCCAACCCCGCCTGGCACAATTAGGTTTTGATAGAATCAACCCAAGAATTACTCTAAATGAAAACGGAGTTTAACGTGATCGTTTCGTTGTTTTAAAATGTACGTAGTTGATTTGCCTTCTGTCTCGGCCGCGGAGACGGAGCGGAGAATCGGCACGTCTGTCCTGTACCACAGAGCAACAGCTGCCAGAACTCCCTCGGCCAGGTGCCAGAACTGGGTCCTGTTGTCGCACCTGGACTCCTGGGAGGCCATCACGCTGTCCCCTTCATTCCCTCCTGCTCTCCCCCATCACCTCCTGAGGTCGAAGTGTCAGGCCAGGGCCTCCGTGTGGTTACAACACAAATTCGGTCAATTCGGTCCGGGAGGGTTTACGCTGAGCCCCCGTCCTGGGCCCGGAGCGGACCCCTGAGCACAGCAGACAGACCGCCTGTGAGTGCTCACATCGGAAACGGGGCAAGGCCTCAAGCAGCCCACTGGTGAGTTCAAGAGACAGGGCTTGAGAACTGCTGACTCATTCTGCTTGAGGGGACATGCTCACAAACCCCGCCGAGAATGGTAGAGATGGGGCTCCGGGGACAGAGCAGTGGTCTCCGACCAAGGCGCAGCCAGCCCTCCACGGGAGGAAGGCGGTCATAACGCCTGGTTCTGCGCTTAGGCAGGTCGTGCGGTTCACAAGCACAGATCCGCGCCTTGCTCAGCCGTCAGGCTGCGGGAACGGCTTCATTCAGCCAGCCGTGGGGGCTGCGGGACCCAAGGTAGCACTTAGGAGACGTTATGGGCTAATGGTGGGCACAGGGGATTGTGGGGGACACGGGATTGTGGGTGACACACAAGGCTGAGTTCCTGATGATGAACACAGGGGATGATGGGAGGCACAGGGGATTGTGGGTAACACACAGGGCTGAGTTCCTGAGGATAAGCACAGGGGATTGTGGGAGGCACAGGGGATTGTGGGTGACACCCGAGACGGAGTTCTTAAGCACAGGGGGTGATGGGAGGCACGGGGGATTGTGGGTAACACACAGGGCCACTCGAGTGCTCCTGATGTGAGCACAAGAGATCCTGGGAGGCACAGGGCTTTGTGGGGATCACACAGGGCTGAGCACCCGCTGTGGGCACAGGGCATAATGGGAGGATTGGGAGGTAGCTCTTTCATAGTCCGCCTGGTATGTAAGTGAGAGGGAAGGGGAGGGCGGGGACAGGCCCAAGGAGCAGGAGTAAAATGACAGTAGAGGAGCTGGAAAGGAGCCTGTGTTCTGAGAAATGTACAAGCAGCGGTGGGGGTGGGGCTGGGGTTGTAGCCACAGAACCTGACATTTCAATCCTGTTTCTGCCCTTTCCTCGGTGAGTGAACTTGAGCCTAAATTTCCTAATCTGTAAAGTTCAGGTAACACCACCTACCGTCCCGGACTACGGCAAGGATTAAATGCGACGATGTACACAAAATACTTAGTATGCAGTTGATAAATATTATGACTGTTATTAAGCAGGTGTTACAAGAAGGCTTGAGAGGAGAAAGACACTGTTGGCTTGGGGGAGGCGCGGCGGGGGATTGAATTGGTTTATCCTCATGGGAGACCACAGGCCTGTTCCTTAATGGCTCCTGCCTTCTCTGCAGCTGGGACCTAGACACCAGTTGCTGCAAATTGCCTTCCTCACTTTGCTAAGGAAAAGACCCTTGGGTCTGAGGTTTGGAGCCAGCCTAGAGGGCAAAGCTTGGTGTTGGCCTGAGCCCCGAGGATTCCCCTCTGCCTGAGTCTCCCGAGTGACCAGTACAAGTTCCAGATGACAGAAGAAATACTAATCAGGTGGGGGCACCGTGCTTGTCTGCTGATGCCTTTACAACCACAGTACTTCCTCCTCCTGTTGCTCAGAGAGCTCCTATGGCCTTTAGGAGGGACAGCCCGGGAGTCCCAGACACCGTGTGGAGCCTCCTCAATCTCTCCCTGCCTTCTCTAGCTTCCTGGATCCCAGCCTGGACAGGATCAGAAGTCCACAGGACAGCCGTGGCAGCCACAGTGCCCGGAGCCGGGCTGGGCTCTCCTCCCTAGCTCTGGCCCAGCCTTCCCTGTCCCCAGTCAACTGGCCCAGAAACCAATTAGTTGCCCTCCATTGGCTTACTTGGCCCGGGATAGGCAATCGTTTTGCACCTCTCTCAGAAGCAAAATACAACAAAATATCACACCCCTTCATCTACTTCTGAGTGTCTTCCTTTCTGGGTTCTGTAAAGCACTTGGTGGTTTTTGCTTTGCGAGAAAGTATGTAACTGTGATTGTTTCTCCGTGACAAAAAGAAATTTTTTGGTCTAATGACAAAAAATAATATTTGGGTCCTTCTATTTTGTTTTCATGCTTCTGCATAGAAAATAACTTAAAAGTTTTTAGTGTTTATTTTTGAGAGAGAGACAGAGAGAGTGTGAGTGGCAGGCGGGACAGAGAGAGAGGGAGACAGAGAATCCAAAACATTATTTATTGGAAATTCAAATTTGATTTAAAATGTTAAAATGTGGGTATCTTGTGCTTGTTTTTTTGTTTTGTTCTTTCTCTTTTTTTTTTTTTGCTAAATTGAGCAATTGTAACTAAAGAGAAACTGTCAAGAGACATAACAAAATTTGTGATTCCCACCATAAAAGTGAGCAAGGTCAGCATGTAACACTTAAGATCTCAGAAGCAAGGAATATGTCCACCCATTTTTCTTGGTATCAAAGTAAAAATTAATAACACAGTGTGTATCAAAGTCTTTTAAAAATTAAAAAAGCTGTGTGCAATTATTTATCAGTAAAGATGGTCTTTGCCTCATTGTTAATAATTCTGAAAAAAAGAAAGCCCCTGACTTACTTCAAAATAGTGTTTTGGTGAATAATAAATTCAGTCAATGGAACACAAGGAAATAAATGGAATCCAAGGTTATTGTTAAGAGTGTTGATATGGATACTTCTTGACATGAAGTATGTTGAGGGGAGAGCATTGAATGAAAAGTATAGGTTGCGAAGCTATCATATTTTTGCAACACAATTGCATTTTGTCTATTGAAGCACACTTTTCTCCCTCATGTTTTAGCATCTCTGAAATCAGGATGCCTTTAGGATTCATCGTATCATCAATCCAGGTTGTGTAAAGAGCAAGAGAAAGTAATAACCTAGGTGAGAGTTTGGAATGCAAAAAAAAAAAAAAATCAGTTGACTTAATCTCATGTATATTGGCTATTTTTTTAACTTTTATTTATGTATTTTAAAAATATAATTTATTGTCAAGTTGGCTAACACACAGTGTATACAGTGTGCTCTTGGTTTTGGGGGTAGATTCCCGTGATTCATCACTTACATACAACACCCAGTGCTCATCCCAGCAAGTGCCCTCCTCAGTGCCCATCACCCATTTCCCCCTTTCCCCCGCACCCCTCATCAACCCTCCATTTGTTCTCTGTATTTAAGAGTCTCTTATGGTTTGCCTCCCTCTCTGCTTGTAACTATTTTTTCCCCTTCCCTTCCCCCATGGTCTTCTGTTAAGTTTCTCAAGTTCCACATATGAGTGAAAACATATATCTGTGTTTCTCTGACTGACTTATTTTGGCTGAATTTGTGAGTAGGGGAAAAACCCCAGCTAGCACCATCAAAAGGAAGATCAGCTGTCAGCATTCCAGCGAAGCTGTGGTGTCCCAAGGGGGCTGAGCAGTCCCAAGGGGGCTGAGGAGTGCTAGACCCTACGTTGAACCTTTACAACAACCTGCAGCAATTGTCTGGCTTGTAAAAATTTATAAAAATGTATATAATCTGGGGCCCGGCAATGCATTCTTAGCAGTACACAAAGCCTGAGATCAAGAATTTCTAACATGAGATGATTAAAATAATAAAATCAAAAGACAAAAAAAAGCAGTACAGAATATGGTTCCATTTCTTCCGTTTACAGAGCATTCCTCTAAATCATTGAAGATTGAATTATTCAACATGAAGATTAGGAAGGGATATGAACATGGAGCTTACAGGAAAAATAAGCCCATGAAAACATGAGTAACTGCACTCCTGATTGTAGAATGTAGATGAAGTATCAATTCTCAGTGAGCCCCTAAGTAAAAAATTAAAAAGCTGGTCAACATCCAACTCTCAAACACTGTTGCTGGAAGTGTTAATGGCCTACTTTATAAAGGGTAATTTGACAGTATCTGTTAAAATCGGAAGTACCTCCCTCTTGGCCCAGTACTTGTGTTACTGCAAATTTACTGTACAGATATATTCACAAAAGTACACGAAAACATGTATAGAAAAATATTCATTGCAGCACTGTTTGTAAGAGCAAAATATTGAAGCAAACTAATTATCTATGGTAGACTGGGTAAGTAAATAATGGGGCCCTGTGATATAATAACATAATATTATAGCTATATCACGTAATATTGTGCAGACATTTATTTTTTTATTTTCTTCTATGGTTGATTGTCAAGTTGGATTCCATATAACACCCAGTGCTCCTCCCAACAAGTGCCCTCCTCCATGCCCATCTCCCCCCTCCCTTTCTCCCCCACCCCCATCAGCCCTCAGTTTGTTCTCAGTATTCAAGAGTCTCTCATGGTTTGCCTTCCTTCCTCTCCCCAACTATTTTTTCCCCTTCCCCTCCCCCATGGTCCTCTGCTAAGTTTCTCCTGTTCCACTTATAAGTGAAAACATATGATATCTGTCCTTCTCTGCCTGACTTATTTCTCTCAGCATAACACCCTCAAGTTCCATCCACGTTGCTACACATGGCCAGATTTCATTCTTTCTCATTGCCATGTAGTATTCCATTGTATAGATGAGCCACATCTTGATCCATTTGTCAGTTGATGGACACTTAGGCTCTTTCCATGATTTGGCTAGTGTTGAGAGTGCTGCTATGAACATTGGGGTCCATGTGCCCCTATGCATCAGCACTCCTGTGTCCCTTGGGTAAATTCCTAGCAGTGCTATTGCTGGGTCATAGGGGAGTTCTATTGTTAATTTTTTGAGGAACCTCCACACTGTTTTCCAGAGGGACTGCACCAGTTTACATTCCCACCAACAGTGTAGGAGGGTACCCATTTCTCGACATGTGCAGGCATTTAAACAGAAGAAGAAAAAGGCTAGCAATTGGGGTAAGGATGACGACTAATGCCATGCCTCCCAAGTCCAAAATATATCAGAATACATTTGGTATGAATAAAAAGGATCTGAATAAATACTTATGTGCATATTGTATATGTATGTATTTGGTGGACACAGTTTACCTTTTCTTTTCTTTTATAAAAGGTACAAAGAGTTTAATTGGTGGTGGGTCTGTGGGGAGTGGGCTAGGAGTAGGGAGGTGGGGGGTGGCGGGATTTTGCCTTCTGGATTTTACCTTGCTGTTCTTTAATTGCTTGAAGGATTGGAAGCAGAGCTCCAAGGACTTGAACCAGGCAACAGATGCAGGAAGACAGGGTCTCCCGACCAAAGCTGAGAACACAGATGCAGCGAGACGTCAAAAAATAGGATCTCTGTATAGACAAAGGCCAGTTGGCTTGATGTTAGCGGTCACGGTGAAGCTACAAGCACCAGCAGAGGTGAACTCCAATTGGAAGCAGAGGGCTTTGACCCTCAGCAGTCTGGGGGCCAGTCAGAGCTGGAGTTAGGGGACCTTTAACGTGATCCAAGGGAGGCAGACAGCTCAGCGCGCTTGCAGTGTTAAGTGTCAGGGGTGTTAGGGGGATCTAATGGGGGGCCTGACCTCATAGTGGGGCCATGAAAAGTTTCGTCCAGGAAGCCATGTTTGGCATGAGCCGCTGAAGGAGGCATAGGAATTGTCTAGGCAATCTCAGGGACTTGAAAAATACCAGATACAGGGGACAGCGTGTAGGAACATCTGAGGGACCAGAAGGTGAGCGCATGTGGTTGTGATAGGGAAAATCTGTTGCAAGATGGCGGACCGGACTAATAGGAAACACCTGTCCCCGATTGATGACGAATGCGGAAGTAACAGGCTATAAATTGTTCCCTCGGCTGATGCTCTGGGTGGAGACCTCTGGAGAATGATCTCCTCTGAGCTCGCCGGTGTAAAATAAACCTCCTGCCTTCCAAGATCTCCGAGTGCCCCTTGGTTCTTCCGCCGGGTGATCCAGGGCAGATTCTGCAACATCTGGTTCCCTGACTGGGAAACCCAACCGCGCTGGCCCGTTGTTGCCACCGGTTTGGAAAAGCGGCGAGGCAGTGTCGGAATGAAGAAACACGAAGGAGAAAGTGCGCCCTGCCTGAATTTCGACAGTCTCCAGCTCGGTGGCCTCGGGCCGGCCTGCTCCGCCGTTCCTGACGGACTTGAGGAGACTTGGCAAGTGAGGACCTGGAACTGACGTCGGAAACTGGTAAGGCCTGGGCCCTAAATCTGTCCTGTCCTATCCACCCGTAGTGCTGGAAGGGGGAGCTGATCCCTCCCCAGACACCCCAGTGGTCTCAACCGTAGGAATTCTGTGGGAGGGAATGTAATAACCTCTGGTGTGTACATGAGTGTGAATATGAGACTCGGTCTGGCTTGCCTGCCGGGTTCGATTATGTGACTCCATGGGTGGGCACCCTTAAGGTCCCCAAAAGCCTACGGAGTCTGGGTGGGCCCATCTGCAATTCCATGGTAAACGGCCTACAGTCTATGGTTGCATTGGGATAGTTTCCGATCGTAAGTCACAAAGCTGAGACTGCTATGGCTAAGTGTCACCTAAGTTCCTTCAGGACACGGCCAGACAGGCATCTGACTGGCCTCCTCATTAGAGGGGACACCCCCACCCCTTTGTCTGTCTTTGTGACACCGCCTCACAGGAACATTATAGGGTTGGGACAGAAAAAACCCACAGTTCTTGAAACTATGATTAAGAATTTTGAGTAGGGGTTTTCAGGAGACTATGGAATTAAGATGACCACCAGCAAATTAAGGACCCTATGTGAGCTGGAATGACTTCACTTCCTGTCAGTGAGGATGGCCCTCGGAGGGAACCTTAGATGTTCCAGTGGTCCAAGCTGCATCTGGCATGTTGTTACCAGAAAGCCAGGTTACCCTGATCAGTTCCCGTATACCAACTCCTGGTTAGAGATTGCCCAAAACCTCCCACCTGGGGTCCGATTTACCTGCAAAGAACAGGGACCGGCTAGGGTACAGAGGTCCTGACCTCTGCAAATTCCCACCGGTGATCCGGAGGAAGAGCCGCTTTGCCATCGCCATATGCTCCCCTGAGACAGTCGGCATCTGACCCTCCGGCTCCCGATACTCTGACACTTCCGGACTCGACAGACCCTCTCTCCTCCAGACCAGCAGCCAGACTGCGCCCTCAGCTAGGTGCAGGTGCACTCCAGATGCCGGTATGAGAGACTGGTGTGCTGGCCGGGACGCTGGAATGAGGGAAACCTGAGAGACGTGATGAAAATGGAACCTTCCTGCTGGGAGCCGCACCGGCCTCTCTGGATGGCAGTCACAGCAAGGAAATGGCAGTGTTTGCAGCTCCTGCCATAAGAAACGAAAACTGGTATCACTTTCTGCTGCTACTGGCTCATGTTGGAAATAAGCCTGCTGGTTTTGACCAGGCCTCACAATATTCCATATCAGAACAATATACCAAACACAGAAACCTCATAAGGAAAAGCATATTCCTGCCTTTGCAAAAGAGATTTTAGATAAAAGCTCTGTGGGGGATTGTAAAAAGCCTCTTCCTATGGGCCTTGCATGTCAAAGACAATTGAGCCTGGCCCCAAGACAAAGAGCCTAATTTAGAGTTAAGGAACAAATAAGTTAACACTTACACCTTCTTCTAACTGGTGATGTATGGCAGTCCCTTCCCCAAGGCCTACATCCCACAAACACCCTCCCCTACTGGCAGCTGGGGTGAGGATAGAGAAGAGTAGCTAACACATAACCCAAAAGCAAAAGGCTAACATATTTAGGGCCCCCGTGGTGTTCACACATTCAGCATCAAATAGGTTTCCACAAACAAACCAGTTCAAAAACATTCATCCTCTTAAGAACCAAACAGAATGACTCCTGGCCTAACTATTTATGACTTAACATATTTTATCTTATTTTTTACTAAGAACATCCAGTTTTTTCTTTAGTTGTAATATTCACTCAACTATGACTGGGTTAATTCTGCAATTTGTTATCGCAAAAGGCTTCCCATTGTAAAAATTCCTTTCTCTGACCCCATGTTGCTTTTGAACCTTTAAATCAAGACACCAAAACCGACAGGTCAGAGATGCCTGCCTGGTGATCAGAAAGAATCTCCGGGCTCTCTTACTCTGTCTCTCTCTCTGTCTCTCTTTCTCTATCGCCGACACCGTCCATCCTTCAGGGACCCCTGGACCTGTCGGAGCAGGCTTCCGATACCTTCCCAGGGCACCTGGGTGGCTCAGTCAATTAAGCATCCAGCTTCAGCTCAGGTCATGGTCCCAGAGTTCGTGGATTCGAGCCCCACATTGGGCTCTGTGCTGACAGCTCAGAGCCTGGAACCTGCTTTGGATTCTGTCTCTCTCTCTCTCTGTCTGCCCTTACCCTGCTCGTGCTCTCTTTCTGTCTCAAAAAAAAAAATGGAAAAAAAAAAAAAAAAAAAAAAAAAAGGAACCTTCCAGCCTGGCCACTCCATGATGTATTACCAGCCTTTCTCCACTACAGATCTCCTCAACTGGAAACCTAACACGCCATCATATTCTGAAAAACCTCAGGCAATGATAGACCTAATGGAGTCCCTCTTCCAGACCCACCGACCAACTTGGGAAGATGGCCAACAGCTGGTCTGCACTTTAACACTGAAGAGAGATGGAGAATTCTGAGAGGAGCTTGGCAATACCTTGAGGAACACGCAGCTGCCGGGGTTGCCGATCCTGGCGCCTGGGCTAGAACTGCTGCACCTGAAGGATGTCCCACGTGGGACTTCACTACAGAAGAATAAGTCCACATCTGCCGGTACCAAGAGGCTCTCCTCCGAGGATCCAAACAGAGGTTAGAAGCCTCTGAGTATGATGGAGATCTCCTCAATCCCCCAGCAGCAAGGGGAATCCCCTGGGGATTATTATGCGCGGCTATACGAGGCTTACTGCATTCACACCCCGTTTGATCCCGAGGCACAAGAAAGTCAACAGATGGTAAACACCTCTTTCGTGGCCCAAGCCGCCTCAGATATCCGAAGGAAGCCCCCAAAACTTAAGGGTTTTGGTGGGATGAACATCACGCAGTTGAAGAGAGCTCAAGAGGGCGTGAAGAGGTAAATGGGTGGGGTTCACGCAGTCCACTTCCAGATCGAGGTTGCTAACAAGGTCTACATGAACAGGGAGGACCCTGCTGAAGGAAGCCCAGAAAAGGATGAGGGGAAAAGGTCAGCCTCCTCGCCACTGCTTTAAGGGAAAAGAACTACTATAAAGGATGGAGGAGGCCCCACCACCAAAGGCGGGGAAGCCCAGGACCCCCTTAGCAAGGGATCCATGCGCCTACTGCAAGGAGAAAGGACATTGGAAAAATGGCTCAGCCAGGGAATGTCTCAGAAACCCAGCCGATATGTAAAAGAATCCTGCGGAAAAGACCTCCTAGGGCTAGCAGGAATAGATTCAGATTGAGGAGGACTGGGCTCCCTTCTTGGCCCCCATGAGTCCACAGTCAAAATGAAAGTAGGGGGCCAAACTTTGACTTTCATTAGATGGGCTGAAATGGAGGGGGCCACTCAGACCAAGGAAGGATAGTGGAAACTGCTAGATGGGTGCATCTTAGTCCCAGTGGCCCTTGGAGGGCATCTAGTTGGCTAATACCATCAACTCCCCCATCTAGGAAACACTGCATTGGAGGCCCTCCTCAAAAAGCAATACACCAGCCAGCTGCCAGCATTATGTTGAGCAATAAGCGGACGTTGTGTGTCTTATGCCAGGAATAACACCCGATCCTTGCTGCGACCCCTGCCAGGTGTCCAGAGAGTAGGAGCTACCCCCTTTGAAGATCTAGAAATAGACTTAACAGATGTCCAGCCAAATCGAGGGTTTAGATACCTCCTGGTAATAGTCTGTACATAATCTGGATGGGTTGAAGCTTTCCCTACCGGGACAGAATGGAGCTGGGAGGTAGCTAAAGTCGTCCTAAAAGAGATGGTCCCCTGGTTTGGCCTGCTGGCCACCATCCACAGTGATAATGGATGTGCATTTGGGTGATGGACATTATACCAACTTTAACCAACTCCCTCAGCATCACTTGGAAGCTTCACCCTGCTTACCGGCCTCAAAGATCAGGGAAAGTGGAGCGAATGAATTGTACCCTCAAGGGAAACGTAGCCAAGTTCTGTCAGGAAACAGACTTCCATGGCCAGAGCTGTTGCCCTGGCCCTCCTCCGTGCCCATTGCACACCAGGGACTCAAGGTTTCTCCCCCTTTGAACTAATATATGGGAGGTCCCCTCCATGTCTAGGGAGCCCCCCCAGGGAACCCACACCACATAGGGGGTAAGGGAATAAGAGCAACTTCAAGCGTTAGGGGCCACCCTGAATAAGTTACTACAATATACTATAGAGAGGGTCCCAGTCTCTTTAGGATCCCCTGTACACTCTCTCACCAGGGGACTCCATCTGGGTCAAAGAATGGAAGAGAGACCCTTTCAAACTACAGTGGACTGGGCTTCCCACTGTTCTTATGACCATCCCTACTGTCCTCAGGGTCACCGATATCATGGGTTCACGACTCCAGAGTCAAGAGGGCCAATCATGAGGAGACCCAAAACTGGGAAGACTGACCCAATGCTGACAAACCCACTCAAAGTATCCTTTCAGAGAGTCCTAGATTCTTAGGATCTTCAGCCCTGCTCCAGCCACACCCCAGAAGCTGATTGGTCTATGCTCGGCAGAAGCTTGAAGAATCGCTGTTCTGATAAGATTGACTGTCCTTACTCTTTGCCATCGGGTTGGCAGAGGTTACCCCAGAAACCTGGGGAAACAGCGAGCGGTTCCTGTTTTCACTCCTCTTCCTCCTATGAATAGGATGTTCTGTTGGTATTGATTGCCTCTAATCTGGGCCCCATTTGGAGCCAGTAAGAGCAGGGCACCTTCAGTGGAAGAAGCTAAAGATGACGCCCTCTAATACAGACTAGATCTTTTTAAAGGGGCATCAAAGTGGGGAATGACAGGGAAAATTTGCTGTAAGAAGGCCGATGAGACTAATAGGAAACACCTGTCCCTGATTGAGGAATGCGGAAGTAACTGACTATAAATTGTTCCCTTGGCTAATACTCTGGGCTCAGACCTATGGAGAAAGATCACCTCTGAGCCCACTTGTGTAAAATAAACCTCCTCCCTTCCAAGATCTCTGAGTGTCACTTGGTTCTTCTGCCGGGTGATCCAGACCAGATTCTTCAACACTTGGAGAAAATCCAGTGGAAAAAGATACACGATGAGAACACAAGCTAGGCAGGATGCTTACCCTATGAGACTTGGGAGCAAATGCTGGGGCGGGTGGGGGTGGGGTGGGGGTCGTCTTTGTCCCAATAGCACTGGGAAGCTTTTGGGGTTTTTTGTTTTTCTTGTGTTTTTTGTTCATTTTTGTTTTCACCTAGGAAGCTTTTGAACGGTGTTAATTTTCCCAAGACAGGATCACTTAGGGGGGAGAAAGGTGCAGGGAAGGTTCAGAGAGGAAGTTTTGAGGCTCTGGTGAAGCCCACTTGAGGGATGGCCGTGATGGGGCCAAAAGAGCTGGTGTCACGGTTGGATAGACATTTATGGGTGTCTCTTGGGATCTCTGCTTCAAGAGGACCACACCAGCCAGCCCAACTCCCATTCTGAGCTGCCTTGAAATGTGCTTGTGGGGATGGGCACCAAAAGTGAAGAGAAAACCAGGATCCACAGATCTGAACACCAGTCGTGGGAGCTGCAGACTCTGAGACCTCGGCCTGCAGCCCACATCCCCACCTGTGCTCCCGGCCTCCCTCTTCTCCCCAGAGTTGGAATACACCAAGACAGGGATTGTTTCCACGCATCAGCACTAGACTTTAATGGTGACCAGTCCCTAGAATGAGAACTGTTGTGTTCAGGGGGGTTCATTTCCTTTGCGGATATTGATTGCATTGTTAACCCCCTTTTGAGCTTCACTCTTTCCACCAAACATTAGGAACAGGACTTTCTTCTGGCAAAATTGTGAATTAGGAGAACCTGAGTCCCTGGCTTTTGAAAGTTCTCTCCTGCCTTCAGTACATCATCCCTTCTAGGCCGCAGATGTGGGAAGGCTCAGAGGCTGCAAAGGCCTGAAAATCCACATGCACACCAAGCCTTTGAATATATGTGGGTGCTCTTCTGATTGAGGAAATAGAAATTTATTTTCATGACCTACTGAATACGACATAACTTTGGTCATTGTGCATTTTCTTAACCAATAGATGTGAAAAGTCTAACCTGTTATGTGGGTGGGGGAGGGGGTCTGTGGGTTTTATTATTATTTTTTTAAAGGAGGTCATTATACTTCTAGTCTAGGGAAAAGGATCTGGTATAGTGGGTTGGTGTGTTATTCATTCAATAGTTATTGCATGCTTCCTGTGTGCAGAGCCACAGAGACACTCATGAATGAAACACAAATGCTAAGCCCATGCTAAGCCCTAGAGATACTCATGAATGAAACAAAAATAGTCTCTGTTCTCAAGAAATGTAGAGTCTGGTGGGAGATAGAAGCCAGTCAACAGTAGTAGTTTTAAGCAGAAGATAAAGTTGAGTGTTAGGACTCGGACATGATGTTACTCCTTCCTCAGGGTTCTGCATATTGAAAGAGGAGCTTCAAGAGGGGCATACACATTTACACAAAGGTCTCAATTTCTGCTGATGGGATATTCAGGAAATATCTTGGCCAACTGCAGAAAGCCATTTAAATAGCTTGACTGGGGGGCGCCTGGGTGGCTTAGTCGGTTAAGTGTCCGACTTTTGCTTAGGTCATGATCTCGCAGTTCGTGGGTTCGAGCCCCGCGTCGGGCTCTGTGCTGACTGCCAGCTCAGAGCCTGGAGCCTATTTCAGAGTCTGTATCTCCCTCTCTCTCTGACCCTCCCCTGCTCACGCTGTCTCTCTCTTAGAAATAAATAAAAATATTTAAAAAAAAAATAGCTTGACTGGAAGACAAATCAGAACCCTTGCTAAGAGAATAAAATAGTATCCAGACTATACATGTTAATAACCAATATCATCAATATACTAGCCATTTAGTGTCTGATATTGATCTATGGGCTCTGCCTGTGTGGAGGACTCTGTTCAAATATTTAAAGATATATGTCTGATGACTGCATCTGTGATTCTATTAAAAGGTCAAAATAATGCTTATTGGGTCTGGAATGATGCTAGAGTTTGGGGGCTATTAGCCCATTGTTGGAATTTGAGCCTGACACGCACAGCAAGGAAAGCCCAGTGATAAAATTGCCAATAATAGAAATAGAAGCCAAAATATATTTTTTTTAATGAAAAAGGATTTGGGACCTAGCTGGCTTGTAAGAGCTAGCACGTGGGAGTAGAGCATCACGTGTTGCTGTGTTAATAACACATGGTATGGGCTTTCTTCCTTACACCATCACGCTCCTTCAACAATAATCGAAATTGTCCTGAAAGGTGTTCTTCCTAGTTGATAGGACTTAAAGTGTATTTTGTCGTTAATGATTATCATGTTGGAAGGTATCCACAAGACTCCCCCTGGGGCCCTATGTGCCAAGGCACGTGCTCCCAAGGGAGGCTCATCTGAGTACCGCTAAGTTTGGCTTGATTGGGAAAAGTATCCAGAACCTTCCATAAACCTTTTGTGTCTGTATTCATCCATTGGGTTGGTGTCCTAGCACAATTTAAGGGGGAAGAAGAATGTTTCAGCCACTCATCATAAGGCAGAGAAGTCGATTTCTATGACAATACTATAACCTTTGCTATGACGCATCCCAGATCTCTGGAGATCCTCTCTGGGTGGTAAACATTTTGCTTTGTGAGGAGTTTCCCCCACTTGCCTGGCCTCCGTTTTTTTCAGTGGTGACACTCAGACTGGTTGATGTAAGCCTCCTGAAGCCCCAATATTAGGCTTTGGGCTTTTCTGATTCAGTTACTCCGTGGCAAGTATATTGTGTTGCCCATCCTCTCCTCCTAGCTTCCCTTCCTTCCCTTCTCCTTTCACGATGTCAGTCCCTTGGAGTGGCTGTATGTTTCCAGCCAGGTGGGGCAGGGAGGAGCTGTCACAGGCAAGATCAAGATGCATCAGGATCCCTTAGCTGTTTTCAGACAATGGTCTGTCCTCTGGTCATTCTCTGTTGGGAAGACAAGCCATAGCCTCACCTGTCCCTCAGGAGGGCCAGACAGCCCTGGGGGGGAGGGGGCAGTTTTGGCCCCTGACACATCACACTGGTATCTAAGCTGCAAGGAAGCTGAGTGAACGTGGCTAGAAAATGGCCTGACACTGAACGAGGGTAACAGCCAGCCTTGTCTTCAGAAAGTTCAACAAAAGCCTGTCTTGGGGCGCCTGGGTGGCTTAGTCGGTTAAGCGTCCGACTTTCGCTTAGGTCATGATCTCGCGGTTCGTGGGTTCGAGCCCCGCGTCGGGCTCTGTGCTGACTGCCAGCTCAGAGCCTGGAGGCTGTTTCAGTCTGTGACTCCCTCTCTCTCTGACCCTCCCCTGCTCCGCTGTCTCTCTCTCTCTCTCTCCTANTCTGTGACTCCCTCTCTCTCTGACCCTCCCCTGCTCACGCTGTCTCTCTCTCTCCTAGAAATAAATAAAACATTAAAAAAAAAAAAAAAAAAAAAAGAAAAGCCTGTCTTTGCTGACTAGCAGACAGGGGTCAGAGGCCATTACAGGGGCTCCAATATATCAAACCCCCTTTGCAGTCTGTAGTGAGGCGAGGGGGGAGGCAAAGATGGAGGCTTCCTCTTTCAGACCTCACAATCATTTTGGAGAAACCAGATGCCTGCCAGTAGAGAAGTAATTATTACTGGTACCTCACGTGCTGTATGCTAGACAGTCAGGAGGCTACCTGAGCATGAAGATCAGCAAACCTGGGCCATTGCCTAAGAGTACTTGAGATTCATTCACGTGCTTGGATTTGACTTTCCCTTGACAAGATGCAAACATATCTTGGCATCAACTCTAAGGTTATTGTGGGTTATGGGGCATTTCTGTTGGCTTCACCCTGGCAGGATTGAGAGGTGGGTAGAGCTGGTCTCAGAGCTTCTAATGTCTCTTGTGGCAGCCACATTTCTCCTGGGCAACTCCCAGCATCTTGAAGCTTCTCTACAGACACCAGAAGCTGCCATGAGACACCATGCACAACCTAACCGTCCCACGCTGGCAACCCTCTTGCTGCTTGCCCACTGTAGAAAAATGTACTAGCTCAGGGCACATGGCGGCTCCGTCAACTGAGCGTCTGACTCTTCATTTCACCTCTAGTCATGATCCCAGGGCCATGGGATTGAGCGCTGTGTCAGGCTCTGCGCTGAGTGTGGAGAAAGCTTAAGATTCTCTTTGGGGGGAGAGGGAGGGAGGGAGAAAGCAATCTACTAGCTTTATACAGTGTTGGCAAGGGTAGGGGGAAGAGGCAGCCTCATCTGCTGGTGAGCTTATAGACCAGTACAGATTGCAAAGCAAATTATCAGTGTTACAAACGACCATATCTTTTGACACACAGCCTGCTTTTAGGAATTTCTCCTACAGATGTGTGCAAAATTATAGTATCGTTCATACAGCAAAAGATTAAAAATGTACCAAATATTGACTAGAAAGACCCTAGTCTTTCTGTCGAATAACAGAAGGTATATTCAGAGAGAAATATTCTGCAGCCATTAAAATAAAGTCAGAATTTTTTTTTAAGGAAACCTGTGAATCAGTCTCAGATCTATTGTTCTTAAAAGTTTTATTAAGTAAAAATACTGGGCTGTGTGTATAACCTATTTCAATTTCAGTAGAAACAGGGCAAAGAGTTTACTATGTCTTTATCTGTCTGGCAGGACATCCCAGAAGCTGCTTGTGGAGATGGTCAGGAGGAGAACGAGAGATGCCTGGGGTTTGGGGAGAGGTAGAAACCTCTCAGCTAAGTCTTCATCTCCAGAGGCCTCTGGTAAGTTCTAGCATCTTGGCTGATGCTGGACTCATTCGTTCACTAGGACTCTTCAAAGCGGACTAATTGAGCATTGTTCCAGCAATAAAACAGAATGGGAAAGGATCAGATAGCAAATCTGGTAAGACTTCTGACACTACGTGGGGTTGGTATTATATCCGTATGGCTCAAAACTGGAATTATAAGAGGCAGCATGCAGCAGTTGGTGGGGGGCTAGATGGAGTGCATTCACATGGGGAGGGGGGTCATGTGTATTTACACAGCATCCAGTGGCTCCCTGTTCCCTTCAGTGCACGTGACTTCCAGGAATGTGTGTGAAAGGAAGCATCCCCCTCAGAATTAGAAGGACGGAATCCTGAGTCTGGTTCTCTGCTCTCCACTTACTGGCTGTGTGACATGACTAAGGCAGCTCTCAGACCCAAGTGTCCTTGTATACAAAGTAGCCGTGATGTTTGGATGAGATGGCATATGGCCGAGGATTTGTGCGTGAGTATGTGAGCAAAATCTGCCTGATAGATAAAAGCGTTTCTCTACTTCTCCCCTTTTCCGTAGGCTTTTGGGTTTTCCCTTTGGTTTAAGGATATTACATCACTAGCACTTCTTATTGTAAGCTGTCATCTTTAGAAGCTGGCGATGCATGGCTACCAACTTTGTCTTAGAACATGGTAACATGTGCTTTCCCTTGGCTGGCACCAATGCCCCCTTTCTCTGCTGTGTCCCCCAAGTTGGTGATGTCCATTTCCTCACTATTCTGGTCATTACTTACTTTTGCTAAACGGATGTAAAGACACATTTAATTTGGCCTTTCTCTCCTTTCCCAACATAGGGGAGGCTCTTACCTCTAACTGGGTGGCTGCTTTGAACCACTCAGAGAAGCCTTCATTGAAAGAGGGACCCCACACCCCATTCCCAAGACACCATTGTTACTAGCTTCTCGCGTTGACCATGAACATAGACACATGTATGTATAGCTTAGCCACCCTTTACATACACATACAGTGGGGCCATAATATCTAGTGTTCTGAACCTTGCTTTTTTATTTCATAATGTGTCTTCGAGGTCACTTTGTATCAGTGCGCAGAGAGACTCTTGACTCTTTGGCTGAGTAATAGAATATTGTGAGATGTTAAAGGAGTTGAAGTTGTACAGAGAACTGGATATAGTTCAATAACGGAACTTTGCAAACTGCCCAAGTTGGTCTCAAGGGAGAGCACAGGGAGATGATATACAGGCCAGCTGCAAGCGGTGAGTTTGGAGGGACATTATGCTCATTCCCCATGAGACTTCTCCAAGGACTCCTTCTAGACGCCATGCATTCTGGGGGAAGGGTGGATTGTGATTTGTTGAAATAGGTCCCTGGCTCCGTTCACCTGCTATAGGTCCCAACGATGCTGCCAGGTGGCTCCCTGCCCCAGTCTGGAGCTGCATGTTTGGTTTGAGTCAACCTGCAAGGAAATTCTCCAGGGCACATCTCCAGAATTTTCTTAACCCAAACACAGCCCTCGCCTCTTGAAGGCCATTGTCCTTAGAATTCAAACTCTTTGGGCAGCTGAGTGCCCCAAAGCCGGACTTCTCCCCCTTGCTGGTGACCCGAACTTGTCTCACTGTGGGATTTGGGAGGCAGTCCCTTTAGTCGGTGTAAGAGGGCTGGGAAAGATGGAGTCCTGGGTCCTTCTGACGGGCCCTTTCTTCCAGCTGCCTTGCTCTCATCATTTTAGGGGCTTTCTTCTCCCTCTGCCTCTTCAGGGGCAGGAATCTAACTGTGGGTTTCCTCTGAGGTTGAGTTCTGGCTCCTCTGCCCCATGTTGCTTAGCCGCCCTTTTGAAAGAGGGTGATGGTCCATGACAGCCCAGCCTTTGCTCATGCAATAGGCCAGAGTGAGAAACACTATAGGTTTGATTTATAGAATGAGGGTCTCTGAATTCACTGATCTGTTGGGATGACACCATTCGAGAAGCCACAGGAAAACCTGACTCACTGTAAGCACCGGAAAGAAAACCTGATGCCTGTTTGAGGAGAAGCAAAGAAAAGTCAGCTGCTTTTCAGAGCTCAGAATACAGCAGCCCACTCAGGGCTCAGATCACCTGGCTCTCCTGCCTCTCCCTGGGTCAGGCTAAAGGCGATACCAGGCACTCTCCCAACTATCGTAACGATACTTGAATCTCACAGATGCTGCTGATAAATCAACGAGTGACTTGATTTGTTCTGAGGAGCATGGAGCCTCATGCCGGAGTTCATTCTGAAGTCACAAACACCCAGAAGCAGAAGCAGATAATTGCCAGTAACCTTCAGAAGATCGAGTTTCCAGCGATGTGCGACAAAATGACGATTTAATAGATGCAAATGTCATGCTTGAATATTTTTAGTCTTTCTTGACAGTGCATGAGTCATTTGGAATGACAGATTGCGTTCAGCGGGAGAGAACCCCATTCCTTTGCTAATTTACTTTGTACCTTTGACTCTTGTGAAGTCTCTCGGCAACATTACAGGAAGCTGCCTGGTATCTTCTGACCCCACATCACAAATCAATTTCCTGAAGCAATTCAACAGAACTGTAGCTCAGTTGCCTTTAAGGAAAAAGCAAGTACCAAGATCTGGCCCTGCCCTGTCTGCTAGGTGGACATGTCAAACTCCAGCTACCTTTCCAGCCCATTTGTTTCTTTTCCTTTAGGGCTGCTTATGATAGGAAGTCTCCCTCTCTGTCTCTCTCTATTGTGGCCTCAGACCCTGGAGGCTTTCGCTGGAGAGGCTCCATTGGCCTTTTTGCACAGGTAACAGGTGAGGGAGAGTGACAGTGTGACAGTGCTCAGTCACCTTTGCTGTCCTCTCTGCAGCAGGAGAGAGGGTCTGAAGAGCCCAGTCAGGTAGACCTGGCGTCTGTAACTTCCACAGCTGTGCCCTCAGCTTATGCCTCTCAGCTTTTGCTACTACATAATCCGATTCACTTGGGGAGATTTTTTTTTTAAATATTTTTAATGTTTTATTTATTTCTAGGAGAGAGAGAGACAGCGTGAGCAGGGGAGGGTCAGAGAGAGAGGGAGTCACAGACTCTGAAACAGGCTGCAGGCTCTGAGCTGGCAGTCAGCACAGAGCCCGACGCGGGGCTCGAACCCACGAACCGCGAGATCATGACCTAAGCGAAAGTCGGACGCTTAACCGACTAAGCCACCCAGGTGCCCCTCACTTGGGGAGATTTTTAAACTACTAACGTCTGCACCTCAGCCACAGAGATTCCGTTTTGACTCCTTAGGGCCGACCCGCACACAGTGTCATTTCTGAAGGGAAGGGGGAGGAAGGAAGGAGAAGCCATGAAGGATTCGCTTGGAAGCCCATTGAAGGAACAGATGAATCTTGTTACTGGTTTGTTCCCAGGTCCTGGCCCATCACTTGGTACCAGAAAATACTCCCGGAAAGAACCGATAAGAGGCCAAATGGATGGCTGAGAATGTGAACTAGAAAGCTTTGAAGACACGTAAGAGGCCGAATAGCGTGGTGGGCTCTGTCTGGGCTTCGGGTGAGCAGGCTCTGCTTGAGTGCCGTCATTTGCAAACTGGATGCTTTGGGCAAGGAGCCTCCCTGTCACCTGCAGAGCAGAGGAGTTTGGATCACATCATTTCTAATGTTCCTTCTCTGTTTCAAAACCCCTCTGAGTAGATGGTTGCTATGCCTACCCATGGCATCTGGCTATTTTTATTGTGCTCTGTGTGCTTCCAGTCAGCTCAGAATTGGCTTAAGCTAGAGAGCAGTTGTCCTTGAACAAGAAGCCTGGGACCGTCAAAAAGAGGTTGCCTGGCGACGGTTTGTACAGCGATGACAGACACCCAGTGTAAGGGGAGAAGGCAGAATGTTCCAGAACATTCTCTGAGGCCCATGGTGATTCCATGGTGGGTGGGTGGGTGTGTGGGTGGGGGAACACACACAAGCCTGGAGCATTTCTTTTTGGTGTGAGCTGTAGGTATGCTGGTGGAAGCACAGAGGCCCAAGCTGGCTTCAGAGACTTAAAAGTCCAAGTTGACTTTTCTCCTGACCCAACCCCCTTCGGCATTGCCTAACTCTCTCCAAACACTGCCCGACGCCTGTTTATGTGCAGATGAAGGAAAGCTCTCTGTTGACTTTATTTCCAAACCCTGCCTTTTGGAATTGACACAAGAGGGCAAACGGCTTGCCAGGGTGGACTGTCCAGTCAGCTGGCTCCAATCCCCCTCTTCCAGCTTTCTGGCTCCATCTCCTCAAACAAGCTATTGGAACAGACATGGATAACACAGATAAAAAGCAGGGCAACATGGGCTTTGAACCCCAAGGCCAAAAGGCTTATTGCAAACTGGTCAGCTTCTGTCTGTGGCTTCCAGCCCCCAGGGGTGAAAGACCAGAGCTCCCTTCCTTCCTTCCTTGAGCCCCTCCCTGTGCACGGTTGGGTCCCCATGTGTGTGTGGGGGGGAAACCTGGCGTGACCTGCTTCCTCAGTGCTCCAGGTGGCCAAAGCCTTAGGTCTGCTGAGGCTGCAGGGGACCGGGGGTGGGGGGGTGGGGGGTGAGGGGGCACGTAGCTTGGACACACGTCTCCATCAGTGCAAAGGCAGGATTCCATTCTAGTTAGAGGCGCAAACTCTGGAACCAGAGTTCTGGTCTATCTCATAATACAAGCCCTGTGACTTTAGATGAGATTTTTCTTAATCCGATCATCGCCTTTTTTCCCCTCTGAAAAATGAGAATGATGCACCTGCCTAGAAAAGCAGGATTAAATATTTAATTTCTAGGGGCTCCTGGGTGCCTCAGTTGGTTAAGCATCTGACTCTTGATTTCAGCCCAGGTCTCACGATCTCGAGGTTCGTAGGTTTGAGCCCTGCATCAGGCTCTGTGCTGCTGGCTCAGAGTCTGCTTGGGATTTTCTCCTTTCTCTGCCCCTCCTCTGTTCATGTGCATGCACTCTCATTCTCAGAATAAATAAATTTTTAAAATGTGTTATTTTTCCCCCCTATGCTTATTTTTGAGAGTGTGACAGAGTGTGAGTGGGGAAGGGGCAGAGAGAGACGGAGACACAGAATCCAAAGCAGGCTCTAGGATCTGAGCTGTCAGCACAGAGCCCGAGGCAGGGATCAAACCGGCCAACGGTGAGATCATGACCCGAACCGAAGCTGGATGCTTAACTGACTGAACCACCCAGGCGCCCCAAAATGTATTTCGAAAGCAGCTTAGAACATAGCCTGGCAAATGGGGTGTCTCAGATAAATTAGTGGGTCTCAAACTTGAACACAAATAAGAATATTCTGGAAAGAGTGCAACTGTAAATGGAGTCCATAGGGGTCCACTTTGTGGGAGGCTCTTGGCTTTTGTCCGCACCACCTGGTCCCGGTTGCTCCTGCATCGCCCAGCTTGGCAGCACGACCCTGACCCAGGGTCCCCTGCGGCAGCCCTGGCTGCCCTGTGGCCGCCATCGTCCCAGATGGCTGTCCTGGTGGGTGCTGCGAAGTTCTTCCTCTTGACCAGTGGATCCTTCAGATTTCAACTCAAGCAGTCTCTCTTCCAGGAAACCTTCCTTACCTGACTTTTGGATGCGCCTCCAGGCAGGGGCTTGAGCCCGTTTTTGCCATTGCCGAATTCAGTCTTTATAAATGTGAAAACAATCTCGGCAGGGGGGAGTGGGGGGGGGGCAAAAATCTTGTTCAATGGCAAAAACCTGACTTGAACTGACACGAGGCTTTTTATAGTCTTTATTTATTGCACTTAGTGTAGGTATTCGTATGTGTGGCTGTAGAAATATTAAAAGGTATGATGACAGCAAGCTGCCCGGGACTCTGGTCCCAAACACTGGTCCCCCGCAGTGCTACGTAATATATGGGATATATAACACGGTACTTTTCTAAAATATCTGTTACAAAAATCTACATTCCAAAATACATCTGGCCCCAAGAGTTTTGGATTGTGGATCTATAGCACCTTTTGCTCTGATTATTGGCTTTATCCTTTGCCTTGCCACCCAATGAAAATCCTAAGGGCAAAGGTTTGGTACAAATAATGACCAATTAGTATTTCTTGAATGAATGACTGAATGCATGATGTTTTTGCAGGGAAACGGTCTTTCTTATTCTCTGTGACATTCTCCACCACTCCGTGATGTTTGTGGTAGGGTTTGTAAAATTAATTTCTCATGGCTCTTTGGTTCCTCCTCCTTGGGCTCTGGACTGTAATTGGGTAGGCTGTCCCCAGGGTGGGAAGCGTAGGGCCTGGGAAGAATGTGTTTCAAAGAGCTAGACTCTTCCATTCTCCATTTATTTGAATAGGGTTTTGAAAAACAGGGAGCATTTCTGGGGCATTGGCACATCTTTAATAGAAGAACTTTCCAAGACTGGGGAGGATGAGCCAAAGGCTTCACTCCTGAGTTTCTCTTTTCCTTGTTCTCCCCCAAAAGAAAACTCTACACGTATAATATGAAAAGGAAAGGATACTCTACCAGACCCTCCCCTCCGGACTTGATAAAGGCCAAGAACTCCAGGGCAGGAAAGTGGGACAAACACTTTGGCAGGTCCCAACCAAGTTATTAGATGTGGAGAGGGTGAGGAGGCCCAGAGTTGTGAGAGGTCTGATTCCCAGCATCCACGAGTTAAAGCACACAGGCCTTTGGGATTCATGGTGACAAGGAAGGAGAACAGTCACATTCTAAGTAAAGAAAAATGGGATACTTATTAGATACTTTAAGTCCAAATCTCTCTTTGATCCAAATTGCCTATGACCACGTGCAAAGGTTGTAAACTCATGTTTGGCTGGGCAGCTAACAGGTAATGAATTAAAGTGGGCCCGACGCAGTACAGTAAGGGGGTGTGGCCAACTGGAAGGTTTCGGCTTCTATTCAGCTCCCGTCTGTTCATCAACAGGCCTTCTAAGTTTTCATAGACAGGCTTTCTAATTTTTTAAGAGAAAGTGGGAAACCTGATTTTTGCATGAACTGTTCCTTTTAAGAAAATCCTGGGAAGGCCAAGTAAAATTCATGAGTAATCAAGTTATGGCCCACCTGTCCCCATTTTGCCATGTTTGTTTCCATACATTCTGGGTGCCGGAGCTCAGGGAAGTCATGGGATCTTAGGGAAGTCAGTTTGTGAATTCCTAACATTTTATGATCGTTCTGGAGGCTGTTCTTTTCATCTGAAGCTTCTCATTCTCCCACCCAAAGGCAAAGTAGGCCTCCCCTCCTTTTCCAAACACAAACACAAGGGTGTCTTACCCATGCCCTTGGTCAGCACCCAAAGGAGACTGTTGAGAAGCCAGCAGAAGGCACTTACGAGCACCTCTGCTTAGACAGCCCAGTGTGACTGGGGGGCCTGGAGGCCACCAGGGAAATGGCCATCTCTTGAGAACCACACCCAGTGTTGCTTCTATGATAAGCCTTCGAGATCATGTCTGAAGGATGGGAAGCAGAGTGAAAAGGCAACGTGTTCATTTCCTATGGTTTTAGGCAACCAGAGGCCAAGGTGGCAGGACACTCTTTGCCGATCGGTTTCTGGTTTCAGTCTTTTGCTGACTGTCTCCTGGTTTCCTCTCCTGTTCTCTTGCCAGAGACCCCCAATGCCTTTTTCTTTCAGGCAATCAACTCGGTTCCTCTTCAGGGTCATGAGGCAGAAGATGTTCATCAACCTGGCCAACATTTGACTGTTATTCGGCGGTGGACAGAGGCAGGAGACCGTGAACATTCTCCAAACCGAAATCCAGACAACCTCCAAGCCCACTGTGACCGGAAGTTCGCCCCATTCCCCAGATCCCCATCCGGCTCCTTTAAGTCCAGCTTTCTTGAGCATCCAAGGTACGAAGAACGTGGATGAAACCCTACGCTTCCTGGTTGCTTATGGTGATGTGTAGGAAGGAGACCATCACACAACCAACCACAAGAGGCAGAAAGGGACCAGGAAGGATGGAACTGCGTGTGCTGGGGGCACTAGGAAAAGCTTTGTGAATGAAGCGACATCGGAGATGGGCTCTGAGGTTCGGTAGAGCTGGATGTTCGTGAAGGTCACTCCTAGTAGGAGAACAGTGTGGACAAAGGCTAGAGGGAGGGGTGCCGGGGGCGGGTGGGGAGACTCTCTCTGCGATTGCAGAGAGGAGCAGGAAGGGAATGCAAGTCTGGAGCCTGAACTTCGAGTGCTTGGCTGAGGAGTTGAGATTGTCCTGGGTGAGCATTGGCGGCCGATGAAGGATTTCTGCAGGGGATGCGGTGACCAGCACTGGGCTGTGTGTGAACTGGATTGGGAACCGGGAACGGGGCGAGGTGTGCAGTCAGGCGGTTACTGTCGTTACTGGGAGAGAAGTTTCCGAGGCTGGGAAGGTGGAGGTGAGGGTGTTTGCACCCTTGAGCTGGTAAGGGTGGTCCTGCTGTCCTCCACCCCTCCCCCTTTCGCCCAGCCCCAACTCTCGTCAGGCGTTTGCCCCTGATCCTGTCAGAACTTCTGCTGTCGAGATCACCGGTGACACCCTGATGGCCACTTCCAGTGGTCACGCCTCAGTCACATCTTGTGGATCTTCTAGACTCACGATGGGGTTACGTTCTGATAAACCCATTGGGAGTTGAGAATATCATTAAGTCAAAAATGTATGACTCCCCCTGAGCTACGGAACATCAGAGCTTGGCCTGGCCTCCCTTACCCGTGCTCCAAACACTGACACGAGCCTGCAGTTTGAGAATCAGGTGTTGATGATCTCGTGTGAAGCACTGACCCCGGCACTGAGGGTGAACAACAGGACGCTCTGTGGACACAGATGGTTGTCTGTGTGTCGGTCATTGACCATCGTGCTCACTGGCTGACTGGGAGCCAGGTCGCTGCCCACCCCCCACCCAGAGAGTGGTCACCAGAGAGGCCACCGCATGTCACTGGTCAGGGCATGATCGATTTTCAAACTTCCAAGAATGGTTTCTGCTGAATGCCTGACCCCTTTGCACCATCGTAAGGTTAAAAAAAAATCAGTAGGTTGAACCACAGTAAGTCAGGACTGGCTGTAACTGACACGGTCTCCCCACCTTCATAAGTAAGTTCTCCTCTCCCTGTTTCTGGAACCCCACCAGCTCCCGCTTTTCCTCCCACCTCTGGCCACTCCATTCCTGATGGTCTCACCTTCGTATCCTGGGACCCTCTTTACAAAGGCTCTGAGGGGTTTTAAATTGCATAGACATGCTGATGGCACTTACGTTGATATCTCCAGCCTGGACCCCTTTCTATGACTTTATGCCGTCAGAGGAGGAGGAAGAGGGAAAGTAGGTGGATTGGATCGGGGAGAGAAAGAGAACCAAGAATAAATGATTAGGGAGCATCATTTAGGGGAGGAGAAAAACTAGTAGGAACAGTTGGAGAGGGAGAGAATAATCAGGAAGGTGAAAGGTCATGGAAATCAAGGAGCATTGAAAGAAAGAAGAAAGGGTTGCTAGCGTTGAACGCTGTACAACGAGGAAGAATGAAGACTGGGGAAAGATTAGGAGAAGCGGCCACGCGGAGACCTGCTGTCCTATTGCCCAAATACCCCGGATGGCCTGAGCACCAGGCAGGAGTACAGTGGGAACTGGTGGAAATTTTGCACATAGCAGAGCGATATGGTCAGAGCTTTGCTGGAGGCAGGCTAACAAGAGGGCAGGTGGGCTGGGAAGGGGAGAGAAATAGAGGACACATTCTAGAAGGATAATTCAGCCATCCCAACGCAGGGAGGTCTGGAAGCTAACTTAAAGGCTGGTGGCTTCAGTGTTTCATGTGTAGAGCAAGAAAATGACTGGCCCAGGTCCCTGGGGTCCTTGGGTATCCCAGACCCTCACATTGGGTATGGCCATCTCCCTTCCCATGTCCCCAGCGTTGGGTATTTCCCAATGCCGTGGCTCTCCAGCTTCCACAGCTAATATTTGTCTCTTATCGATCCAGTCACCAGCCTGTTACTTTTTAACTGGAGTCCAGGGTTCAAAGGCCTGACTTTTGTTTAAACACTCATTACATTGGGGAGGGCATGTCCCCCTGATAATCTCGACTGATGAACAAGCAAGGATCTTCTAAGTCAACACAGACCGCAAAGAAGGCAAGAGAGGGGGGGACCGAGGGGGAAGGGTTGGAGGTTGGGGGGGAAGAGTGGGAAGGCCTACTGGCCGAGGAGCCCTTAGAATTTGTAAGCTAAATAGCTAATACAGCAAGGGCCAAACCCAAACTTTCTTTCACAAGTAATATTAAATATGTTATAAGAAACTTTTTATCAGAGAGAAACTCTTTAAAAAATATAACGACATCCTGGTGCTTCATCAGACCATTCTTGGGGATTGAGAAAGCAGCCCTCAGTCTCTGGTCCCCCATGGCCCTTCAACTCTGTTGGACAAAGGGATGTTTGCCTTGCCCGGAAGGTATCTGGAAAATATGCATTTGCTTTTGAGGGTGGAGAGAGCTCTGTCCTGCATGCAGGTGGAGACAGCGTGGCTTCCTTTGAGGGCCTGGAGTTAGGGCTGTTCCTGAGAACAGGCTGGCTTTTCAGGGGAGTGAACACATTGTACACAATGAATTTTATGGTCTGAAGCTGGCCCCTGCCCTCAAAACCCCTCCTCTACTCAGTTTGCCAATGCCTAAATGCCATCATTTCTATCTTTATTCCTTGTAGGTTAAGCCAAGCGTCACCTTTGGAATTGCTTAAAATGAAAATACTTCTGGAAGGGGTCAAGAGTTTGGTCTTATCAGTCATTTACATCTTAGTGGAAAAGAGTGTATTGGCTCTTCCCTCGGAGAGGAGGTTTGGTGGAGGGGGAGGCAGATGGGCAGGAGAGCGCAGCGGCTGAATGGCGGCTTGCAGCCAGTCTGGGCTCAGCTCACCACTCTGCAAGTCTCTTTCCCTCTCAGTCTGTTTCCTCCTGTGCAGCTTGGGCCCACTGATTCTGGCCTCATTAGGCTGATGTAGAGATCTGTGGTGCATGCCAGCAGTACTGTCCTAAGACAGTCAACTGAGCTTGGCAAATGGCAGCAAGGCCGCCATTCCATGGGGAAATTCCCTCTACAAAGGGATGCTGGAGGCCGAAGATACACTAGGGCAGTGTTCGGCTTCTTATTCCCAGACTCCTCCACCTTTCCTCTGGTTCCCGCCAGAGATTTCCCTGCCTCCCTTGCAGTGGGCAAGTGGGGATATGCCCCTTCCAGACCTGGCCTTCCTGCAGCCCTCCAGCCTCTGCCTGGAGATGCCCCAGGGGATGGCGGACCCACGAGGGGCGGTGCCTGGGTTCCTGGGCGACTTCTGGAGCAGAGTGTCACCTCTTACCTACATAAGGAGAATGAGTCTTTATCACAGTAAGCCCCTCCTGGGGGTTCCTGGTTACAGCATTAACTTGCCCTGATTGATAAAACTCCTCTCTTCCACCCCCACCGCTTAGGATGCATTAATGAGGAAGGGGGCCAGGGAGCTGGGAAGCAGTCCAGACCACCCTCTCCATCTGGAGGCACTGACAACCGACTGCAGCCAAACGTGCCTGGACCTCAGCCTGTAAGTTCAAGATGATAGTTGCATGTAAATGACCGGCTCGAACATCCTACAAGGTGACTGTGTCTATTTGAAAAGTGGATATTTTCATGTTATATATGAAATGGGGGGACACTATTTGGATATTAAACTATTGTACTTTTCATTTGTGATGACCTATGGCTTCCCACCCATTGGCTTAATGGGTTTTATGGTTCTAGGGCAGTGTAGATGCCAGCTAGAATTTAAAAAGTCATCGTAATAAATCACATGGTTCCATTTCTATGAGATTGAAGAACAGGCGAAACTAACCTATGGTGGAAAAAATTCAGAGCAGCAGTTACTGGGGGATGGGGGGAGGGCACAGGAGTGGACACTGACCAGGGGGAAACATGAAAGAACTTTCCGGGGGAATGAGAATTCAGGTTACATGGGTACACGCCTTTGTTAAAACTCCGTGAATATACATGGAAGATTAACTTCATTGTATGGGAATTTTATCTCTGTTAAAAAGGAGACAGCATATTAAAAATGGAGTCACTTGTGCCAAGACTTAATACCTGATTTAACCGCAGTCTCATTCCCCATCCCCCAACTCCCAGGAACATGACCTTTAACCTCCTAACATGGAACTTCCTGGTCAGCACTAGGAGGTAATTCACCAAGTGACCCTTTCTTGTCCCCTTAGGAGGGTGACTCGCCTGACACGATGCATTCTTTGCTAGTAATGTCCTTCCCCACTCCCACTTCAGCCTTTAAAAACCTTCCATTTTGTACTGCTCCTTGGAGCTTTTTTTTTTTTTTTTGGTTAGATTGGACGCTGCCTGATTCATGAGTCATTTAGTAAGACCAATTACATCTCCAAATTCCTCAAAAGGAAAAAAAATTTAAATGATAAAATCTAGTTAATGATAGGCAGGTTGAAGATTGGGGGCGGGGAGACTGCTGCCTGCAATTTACTTTGCAGTGCTCCGATGATCACGGTGGATTAAGGGGTAGAGAGGAATAGGATATGGTAAGCAGAGCAAAATGCAGTGGCGGAACTATGGGGTGAGGGGGTACCGGTGTTCACCAGACAATTCTTTCAACTTTTCTGAATGTTTTCATAACAAAATGTTGGAGAGGGGGGGAAAGTTGTGCTTTGGGTTTCAAGGCTGACAGTCATTAGTACTAAGGAAAATGGCATTATCAGGCTCTGTCAAGAGGCAGATTTTTGTCCATTTTTTAAAAAAGTTCACTTATTTTGAGATAGGAAAAGCATGAGTAGGGAAGGGGCAGAGAGGGAGAGAGAGAATCCCAGCAGGCTCCATGTTCAACGAAGAGGAGTCCGATGTGGGGCTCGATCCCATGAACCATGAGCTCATGACCTGAACTGTATCAAGAGTCGGACACTCAAAACGACTGAGACATCCAGGCACCCCGATTTCTGTTCACTCTCAAAGCTTCTCTAATCAAGAGCTAAATGTACATGACTCATAGCTTCTACCTTTAGCTTGTATTGTTATTCAGTCTGGACAAGGCCAAGCAGGATTGAAAATGGTTAATATCTTAATTCTGGCAACTCTGTGTACAAGGTTCACGGCAGGAGAACACTTAGAAATTGCCCCAAAGTATAACATCCCTTTAATCAGAGGGGATGTGCCTCTCCCATATCGCTCATTTCAGTGCTTAGTCATCTCTTTGATGTGGGAAACAAAGGCGAAAGAAAACTTTAAGCTGCCTTATAATTTACAACCCATTGACATACTCCTGAGGCAGGCAGGGACCTTCCTCTACGAACTCAATTGCCTTGATGTTAATTCAAGCTAACTTGTCCGCAAGTCAGCTGTTCCCTTAGGGAGGAGACGGGCTTTCCTCAAGCACTGGGGGGAGGGAAAGCAGAGCAGAAAAGCTTTGGGAGAAAACTGGTACCCTCCCTTCCCACCACTCTGGCCCAAACCCCTCTCTCTGCCATTCTGTACCCCATTCCAACAGGGGCAAAGTGCCATGGCGGCAGAACCGGTGATGGGGGGGGGGGCCTCGTCCACGCGTGAAAACGGCATGCAGGAAACGGCTAGGTTGCTGGGCACCTGGCCGAGAATGGGGTGGGGTTCGAACAGGCAGCTCAAACTTCAAGAAGCGGTCACTAGGTGGACACATCTGTGGGGCTCTGCGGAGGGGCTGGGCGAGTTCACCTAGCCTGAGGCGGTCCCCAAAAAGGAAGCTTCCTTCTCACCAAGCCCCCACCAGCGGGCACCCCTGAGGTCATGACAGAGTCCTGCAATCTACTAAGGTAGGAGCCTGTACTGGGTCTTCAGTAAACTCCCCCTCAATCTGTTTTCCTGTCCAAGTCCAGTCCAGAAACACCTGCTGAGAGTCCGCCAGCTCATTCTGTGGGAATCTACCACTTTGAGACATGTCCTGTCCCAGTGAGGGATCTGTAAGTGGCTTTTGCGTGCTTACATCCGGGGACCATGTGGTCATGCGTGGTCCCTTAAGGGCAAACCTTGGGACTGAGTGCGAACTCTCGGATGCCCGTGCTGGGCACTACTGCTCTTACGGGGGCTTTACCGGGACACAGGCGCTGAGATCACTCCTGGGCTGCAGAGCAGGCCAAGAGCTTATTAACTGAGCAACTGTGTAACTGATATGTGACAACTTCTATTTATTCCACCACTTGTTTTTTCTCGAAGAAAGAACATACACAAGTGTGGAGCCCCTCCGCCCACCAGCATCTCCCTCCCTTGCCTGTGCGCATCCGGCTGGAGGCAGCAGGCTTTCCCAGCAAGGGGCCATCTGCTGCTAACTGGAAAAGGACTAAATTATGTCCCGCTTGGATGCTACCTCCTGGCAGCTCCCGAAGGGACAGACTAGGGCCGTCAAAAGGCTTTTGTTCTAAAAAGGAAACATTTTTGAGGAGGCTACCGCTTTTAACTGGGAATTGACGTGAGATCTAGAATTTGATAGCATCTTTCTCCTGAGAACCTCTTTGGGCTTCATTACTGAGTCTTATTAACTCACATTATATTGAGAGTTGGTTGGTTTAAAACCCGGAGGTAAAATAATACCTTTCTAGACATGGACTCCTATGAATTATGGAAGTGTTATATAAAGTCACCAATTCTCAAGTTTAACAAGACGACGACAGATGGCTAAGAACAGATGTGCATTCCAGGGAGTGGAAGCCTTGTGTTTTGGGCAGACTTTAATGATTTTTTTAAAGGTGTGGGGCTTTGAGGGACATTAAGGGAATGAATATCCTATAAATCTGCAGGCATTTAAACCCCTGAATCCATGAAGACCATGCATTTACCGAGAAGCTTCAAATCAAATCAGACAACCCATAATACTCGGTGTAGAAAAACGTTCCAGCTTCCATAATTCTTTATTAAATATTTGACAAGTTGTATCACTTCTTTACAACGACTTCATTTTGTCACAATACTCTTTTGCTGTCAGGAAAACAATCTACACTTTCTCTTCAGATCTCTTAAGAAAAATGAAAAGCAAAAAAGGATTTGTTCTTAAACAAAACTTTTCCTGTGTGTATCAAATTCAACCATAGTTTAAAGCTATTCTGATTGTGAAAAGGAGCGTTATCCAGAAGTTGTCTTTAAAAAATTTCGAAGTAGTTTGGTTTTTAATCACTGTATCAAATAGTACTTGGCTTTGTATTAGAAGGTGGGGTTTATAATAAAAAGTTATGAAACATGGAGAATTCATTTGGAATGCTTGAAACTTTTCACCTTAAAAGTCACTGTTTTTTTCATGTTTCGTTTGGTAATAAATCCTGAATTAAGGAATGACAGCCTATTAGCATCATTTTTCCTGGTGTTCTCTCAGGCTCCGAGGGTCAGAAATCTCAGGACACAGCTTGGAGAAAACTGTCGAAGGACTAAGCTCTCACTCCCTTTCGAAACCAGATTACTCAAGAGGTGCAAAAATGCTATACAAATATATACATATATATTTGGATAGCATATGTATGTATATATGTAAATACATATCACATAAGTAGTAGTAAAGGAAAAACGAAGTCACACAAAGTTAACATGAAGGAAACCGTGACGATCTAGGTGAAATTAGTCTGAGTAAGAGGGCAAACTGGCTTCTACAGGAACACAGATGGCTGGAGACACAAGGTTATGGTCATCAAAGGCTTTCAGTGCTGACCCAAGGCTGAGATGCAGTACACAGAGGTCTGTAGCCAGTGTTGTTAGATTCCCATCGATACTTAGAAACATAAAACCAACAAACAACAAGACCTGCATCTTAAACGTGCATTGCTTTGAGCTTAACACCTTTCACAAAGGATCAATGTCTGAGAAGCTTTCTTGGAAAATTTCATAACAAACAGAGCTATCCTCTTCCGAGAGAGAACATTACACAAGCTCACGTCCTAATGCTACGGCATTGTTTCTGACACTCTGAAACCACACTGGGGTGGGGGTGGGGCGTACGCAAGGGTATCTACAGTGTTCGTTAAGGTGTAGATAAATTAAAAAAAAAAAAAAGTGGTCCGAAGTATATCACATTTTCTTCCCAGTTGTAAAATCTAAAGTACAAAGTGGGGTTTATTGGGAATTTTAAAAATGCATCTCTGACCTGAAATTGGCAGTTTTGACATGACTTTATCAGGATGTACCCCAAAGCCTGAATGAGACAGAGGTAGTGCCCGATCTCCCGGGGGCCGAGAAGGGAGCAGGCCAGGCAGTTACTTGGCGCAGCAGCTCCCCCTACTGACGAGGCAGGAAATGATACCGGACAGTGGTGCCCTCCTCTCCCCCATCAGGGCATGGGTTGTGGAGTCAGGAGAAAAGAAAGAGGGTGCCTAGCACCGTGGGGAGGGGCTCGAGAATTGATGAACCCATGCTCTCCACAGATTCTGAAAGTTCAGAGGTGAGACACAAGACTTAGGACAATGGTGGAGTCTCGTGTTGAACAGTTAGTAACTGTTGGAGCAATCAGTAATTGGCTGCACATGAACTTGCCTTTCAAGAGAGCCAGTCTGGATCTGGCAAGCTCAAACAGCTGGGGTACATGTTGTCTATTTAACAACGTGAGATGTAGAAAGAGGTTCAAATATTTTGCAAATCATTTCTCTGGCTCCGTCACTGCATCCTTATGTGGGAGGAACAATCTGCGTCAGGCGCTTTATAGCATCAGGAATAGCTCCTGTTCCACCAAAGGGCCTTGCAAAGAGAAATTAAAGAAGCGTCTTACATTCTGGTGATCTCGTTCAGGGCTGGCTATAGAAAAGGAAGTTAACGGAAAATGTGTCAAGGCGGAGTACAACTTTGAAACAGACAACTGCCTCGTTGGCTCCTATTCCAGAGGCAGCCGGTGGAGAGGCAGCGCACGATGGGAGCTAATCCAGACTTCCCCAATTCGCCTGGAGGCCAGCGAGGGCCGGGATCGAAATCCTGTAGTTGTGAGAACTCTTGTCCATCACGTGGTTGCCCCCGAAATTAGCTTCTTAACCTTGTGGCAAAATGACCCATAATAAGGGCACCTTCTTCAGGGTACTTAAAAAAAAAAAAAAAAAAAAAGCCAGATTCGGGTAATTTTTAAGAGAACAGGGGGAAATGGAAACCGTGGACTTGGAAGACGCGCCAGGGCTAAGGGTAATGAGAAGAGGCGGCCTGTCCTCCCGGCCAGGGCTGCGGGGTCCCCGGTGCGTTTTCCTAACCACCACCTGCGACTCTGCCCTGGAGGCAGCGGAGAGTGGCCCGCAGGACGTGGAGGAAACCGGATCTAGGACTGTTTTAGACCGAGTGAAACATCAAGAATTGCTGGGATGAGGGAACCTTAGGTGTGGATTAAACGCGAGAACGAAGCAAAAACAAACCCCAGACCCAGCACTATTCAGCCGTCACTGACATCCAACAGTTAGGGGAGGAGGAACGGACCCGTCATGCACCATGACTGCCTCTCCAGTAGTCACAGGCGTTCATTCTTATCTGCTCCTGGCACAGGAAGGGTCTTGAGATGGGGTTTTCGTTCACATTTTTAACGCTTTGCCTAATTTGCATTTACTAAGTATTCTGATTTTTTTGAGTATACAGTTCACAAAATGACAGCACCCCAGGTCTTTACCTAGAATCGCAGGCTTTCCCCCATAATGACATGATCGCTCTCAGAATCTATGCAAGCACTGGCTTTGGCGGGAGCCCTAGAAAGGCAGGCCTCTGGGCCGTGAAGCTTTACACACCGGGGTTTTTTTTTTTTTGCCAGGAGATAATGGTTATATTGACTGAAGGGGGGAAAAATCCCGAAAGTAGATAAAAATAATAAGCAATGTTGTTTTTTCTAACAAGTCAACATCTAAGTTCTCTGGCCACTGTTGGATAGTTTTAAATCAATAGGAAAGGGGAGGGCCAGTTCTCAGCTCTGCACAAATCCTCCTTCCCTCAGACCCCTCCGACCCCCGTGTCTCTTTAGACAGCTCACTTAGAACCACAAACGTTCCTGGTTCCTCACGAGCCACCCAGAGCTGGCGAACAATGAATTTCTTACACCAAAAGGTCCCTCTTATATAACAAAGGGGGAGGCCCCGAAACCACAATCCACTGTCTTATCTACTGAGTGGCAAGAGATCACATGTCGGGGGGTCCCTGCTCACGACAGGGTTTAGGACAACCCAGGTTAAAGGGACAGCAGGGCTGCCGACCCTGCCACGCTGCCTCAGGCTTTGTCTTAGAACAACTCGGGATCCCACAACCAACGCTCACAAGCCCCGAAGGGTCCCTACAGCGTGGGACCCTCCATCGCGGGCACCGGCAGCTTCTCCGCGCCACCGCGGGGGGGTCCACTCAACAGTTCCTGCTCACATTTAATCCAGCACAGAACAGACAGCGCTCAGGAAGTACACGGCATCGGAGAATGCAGCGTGTCCTGGGTGACAAAACCCAGTTAGACGAAGCGTGCGTTAAATTAATCTTGGCAGTTGAGTAGAAATCACAAAACAACTGGTAGGGGACAGATCTGCAGGCTCAGTTTCACATCCGGGTTTGATACACCAGCAGCCAGATTCACAACCGAGAGATACTGCACCGGAGAGATGTGTGCAGGGAGAACTAATCATCACATTTAAGGTCTAGGATTCAACAACAACCCCAAAACATTGACAAAACCAGGTCTGACCTCCATTTAGAACATAAAGTGCCTTTAGAACTGGCGCAGCGACAACATTAGTTACATAGCTACCGTTAGCAAACGCGCACACACGGGACACGACACAGATCTGGTTTCCACAGTTTCAGATCAAGCAGGTGCCGAGGGCTGTCCAAGTGTGTCTACGACACACAGCAAAGAGGAAAAGGAAATGAAAGAATTGCTGTACAGTGTCACAGAGGGTTAGATAATTTCTCTTCTGAGAAAGGAGAGTCCAACCCTGCCTCAAATGTGTTCTAGCGCATGGAATTACTTCCAAGGAATAACGGTGTGATTCCTTCAAGTCAACAGCAAATGTGTCACACTCAGGTACGATTCTCCCAGCCTGGAGCTATTATGCTAAATTTGCACACACACACACACACACACACACACACACACACACAGACACACAAATGTAATGTCCAGTTTGTTTTCATTCTCTCGGAGTATGGAGAAAAGTATCACAACGTCTAATGGTACAGTTTAAGTTCTCTCAAAGTACTTGTCTGTAGGTACTGGGGCACAAAAATCAGTCCTTCAGTTCTAACAAAGCAGGGAGCAGGGGGTGGTGTCCAAGTACTTCAAAAATAAAAATGTCACGGACATTAAACCTGGTATGAAATTCAAATACAAAAAGAAATATGCTCACTTTTCCAAGTACACGAGACGCCTTTAATTGTAATGAAATAACATCTGAAAATCGGTCTAAATCATTTTAAAAAGTAAACATGAGCTGTAATACTATACCTGTAGAGTGATTAATCCCATTCATTGTCATTATAAAGTATGTAAAATATTTATTAAGGGCTTTGCCTACAGAGGCACAACATAAATAGAATGAGACCTCCTGAAATGTTATTAGTGTCCACACCAACCAGCTGATGATTCGTGGTGGAAAATGCAGGAACGCGACCTGGGACCGCCCAAGCCCGAGCCCGGGCGAGTCACGGGCGGAGGCCCCGCTCGGGGAGCCAGGCCGCTGGCTGCGGCTGCGGCCGCTCCTCCGCCTCGGCCTCTGCAAAGTCAGGTGTTGGGCAAACGCACAAGTGCAAGCGGGACTCGCTCGATGAACAACCACCCCGAGGAGGGGGGGGTGCGCTTAATCCACCCCCTCAAATCCTTGAGCGTTTTCCACGGCCATGAGAAGCTTCTCTCGTAAATCTTCGAAGGTTTCATATGGAGGTAAGTCGAGGCGATTAAAGCTGCAAAAGTAACAGAAAGAAAGGTAAAGAGGCATCCTTCCCATCCTGCAGTCACGGCGGCCTGACCTAGGTTTGCCTATGGAGGCATCTGGAATTTGAGCAAGAGGGTGCAGAGATCGTCCCAACGATTCTGAGTCTCTGCCATAAACACCAGCCATGAGGGCAGCTGGGCGGGGGGGGGATCAGTCGGTTAAGTGTCCGACTTTGGCTCAGGTCACGATCTCACGGTTGGTGGGTTCCAGCCTCTTGTTGGGCTCTGTGCTGACAGCTCAGAGCCTGGAGCCTGCTTTGGACTCGGTGTCTCCCTCTCTCTATCTGCCCCTCCCCGGCTTGTGTTCATCCTCTCAAAAAAAAAAAAGCCCAGCAATGAAAGTGTCCACACCGAAGAGTCTACAGAACCTACGAAGGAGAAAAAGGAATTTTCTGAGGTCACTGACATCCTTGCCGAGTTCCAAACCCTCGAACATAAAGAACTTACATGTTAGGGATGCACCAAGGCTGAGTCTGTTTCGTATGCTCTGGCTTATTCTACACTAGCCCCCAAGCTGAGTGCTTTTCCTGACAGTAACTCATGCTGTTTTCATTACAGGTCTCTGAGGCGGGTAACGGTTTCTCCAGATTCAGGTCCCAGAGCGTAGAGAGGCAAAGTCAAGAGGTCCGAGCTCTCACTCCCAGGAAACCGGACTCTCGGGGTCTCCTGAATTCCAATGCTAAGCTGCCTGCTCAAAGTCAAGCAAGCAATGGAGATTTGGAGTGGAAAGCTACGTTTACAAAAGCCTCTAACTATCTGGAGGTGTGTTCAGCTGGGGTGTTAAAATCAGCCTGGTGACAGAGACGCCTTCAAACAGTGGCCTCCGCGAGCGGTGAAGCACACTGGTCTATGAAGGCAGGTTCAGACGCCCGCTCTGCCACGTGCCGGCTGCGTGACCTTGGGCCCGTTACCTTCTCTGAGTCCATTCGTCTGCTTTTCTGCGAAATGGGGACATTGCTCTCAGGATGCCAGGAAGGTCAAAGCAGAACACGTGTAAGGTGTTCCATGCACCAGGCAGGTGCCCAAAGATGGTGACCACTGTTCTCTCTCACTCACCATTCACTGCATAATGCCTGCATGGGGCACAAGGAGTTAGAATCGATATCCGTGGGGGTGCAGTGCTGACGTGTACCGGACGTGAAAACGGCCATACTGCCATGGCTAACGATGGTGTTGAATAAGAGCGAATGTTTGTGGAGCAGACCAGTCACCACTGTTAAGTACTCTTGGCCTATCACCTCGGTGAATGCTAGCAATCACCCCTAGTTTAGAAAAGAGGAGTGGAGGCACAGAGAGGTTAAGTAACTTGCCCAAGGTCACACAGTAAGCAGGAAACCCAGGACCGTGCCCCAGGCTGGCTCCGACATCAGGCTCTGACCAGTGCTTGTGGCGCCTCAGCATTTAAAACTCCCTCCCTGCGCAGACCCATGATTCCAGATGTGAACAGCACATGTCCTGACGTTTTAAAACTAACAGCTCTCAGCAGCCGTTAGAATTGGACACACATCCCCGGGGGGCCATTCAGATTTTTAAGTCGCTAAATAAACACTAGAAGTTACAGCAGAGGAGAACATGAGGCTTCTCAAACTGGAATTTCTCAGAAACCCAGGAATCCTGAAGACGGAGTCCAAAAGAGTTTTCAGTTTGATAACCGTCTCAAATGTTACCTCAGCAGCTGTCATGACAGAGCTCCTTTGGCTGACGGCACTTAGAAACAGCCTGTCCCAGGGGCACCTGGGTGGGTGGCTCAGTCAGTTAAGTGTCTGACTTCAACGCAGGTCGTGATCTCACGGTTCGGGGGTTTAAGTCCTGTGTCAGGCTCTGTGCTGACAGCTCAGAGCCTGGAGTCTGCTTTGGATTCTGTGTCTCCCTCTCTCTGCCCCTCCCCGACCCATGCTCTGTCTCTCTCTCAAAAATAAATAAATATTAAAAAGATAAATAAAAAAACCCTAGTCTGTCACAGAAGCTGGCCTTACACAGTCCAGGGCCTGCGATCCCCGTGGGGCCTTGTGATACATTCTCGAGGCTGTGTGACCATCTTGCTGCGTATGATCGCTGCGGACAATTATCGTGACGGTCATATGGGTTAATGCATATAACGTGCGCAGGACAATGCCGGGAACACAGTAAGTGCCTGATAAGTGTCTGCTGAGCCAGGAGTCTGGCTCTGACCTGCCACTAGCCAGCTGAGTGGCCTCCGTATTCCCGGCCGGCCTCATTTGCTCATGTGGAAGATGGGTGGGCTGACTGAGGTCATTTTTAGTCTACTCCAAAGAGCAGGTGGGTCTGTGATTCTTTGCAAGGTATAAATATCCAAGCAGTGACCTTTGATAGGACAGTGAAATGAGGCCCTTTAAAAATGTCAGATGCTCAGGAATTACATCTGAGAGGTTTATGAGCTCTCCTGGTAAATCAGGTCTTTATTCTGAAGCTTAATGGGCAATTTTAAATTTCTACACAACCTGGAAGGGATCAGACCTGTCTACAGCCAAGGTGACGCAGGTGCTGTTGCTGTAAGCAGCTGGCAAAGCCCTGTCCGTGCAGTACAGAGCTGTCTGGGGGCCGGGCTGGGTGCAAAGCATCCCCCCCCACCCCCACTGGGAAATAGGCCCAGCCCTGTCAACCCTCTTCTTCACCGGGTGGGAGTCTGAGCGTCAGCAGGAAGATGCCTGGTCGCTTGATTTCAGGGACCCGCAGAGAAGCAAAGGGGCTCCGCTAAGAGCCCACCGGGCTGCTTTCCTCCCGTGGGCAGACCTCCGTCCTTCCTAGGGAAGGGCGGGGGGTTTTACACTCGGTCTGCCAGAACTCCTAGAGGGTTCCCCCCAAACTAACTAAGTCCAAACCTCTGGGGACAGGACGCAAGCATCAGTAGATTTTTTGGAAAACTTTCTAAGAGGTTCCAATGCGCAGCCGATACCGGGAACCACTCAATTCAGAGCTCTTATCTGGGCAGCACCATGTTTCGGGCGTGACCCAAGCACGTGGACTCGGAAACGGAAGCAAAGTTCTACAGTAAAGACATCTGTCCACGGGGGCACAGAGGGACATGGGCTGGACGCTCGATTATTTGGTTCTCTTCAAAGAGTCTCCCAAGAAGGTGAGCCGTTATCAGGAGGCAGCAGACCTGGCACCGTGGCTGGCGCGCAGGCTCTGCTCCCGGCACAGCTGAGCTCCCAGCCTGCCTCTGGGGGTCTGGGAGCCGTGCGATCCTGGCGCAGGCGTCCTCTGCGGGGACGGGCGTGCCAGCCTCCAGGGGGCCGCCGCAGAGAGTCAATAGCGCCCGCGCCCGCTAGGCGGCTGTGGCCAGCAGGCGAGCAAGCCTGCCTAGCACTAGTAGCCCAGGAGTCTGGGAGTCCGGCATCACTCCCAGGGGTGCTGGGGCTCCGCTCAGAGCTGCCTGCCTTCCAAACGCAGGCTAGCATAACCCAGAAAACTACCGTTGAGTGGGACCCTGTTTGGAATAAAAGCTCCACACTGCCAACCCCTTCTCCCTCGGGAATACAGGCGGGGAGGCAGGGCGACCGCCACGTGGGACAGCCTCCAGCTTTAGGGACAGTCGGCTGGCTTTCAAGGGTCAGATGGGTAAGGGCCACGTTCATTGCACTCAGTCACACGAATGGTATAAACGGGGAACGCGCTCTCTCCGGGAAGGCGAGGGAGTCTGCCAACCCCCCGCGGCCAGTTTTCTGCAAATGCACTTTCAGAATTGCTGCCTCGCTGGCACTGGAGGGCAGGGGCCCGTTTCCCCACCATGAGCGTTCGCGGCACCGTGCAGCGCCCTGGCTCCGGGAGGCCCCCCACCGGTGAGGAGAGCGGGGCTGTGCAGCCCACCACTTCCGGAGGGTCCACTTCCACCCGCTTCCTAAGAGCAAGTCTGTGGGGATGCCAAGGCCGGGATTTGCAAGCGCTCCCTGAGAGCTGCGAAGTCTCATTCCGGTGCCGAGGGTTTAGGGGACTCTTCGGGGACACTGGGGTCCCCTCCTCCCGGCCTGCATCCTGGAGGCAGGGCTGCCCTGCTCCTGCCCCCACCCCCTCCCCGAGGAAGCAGGCCTCTGTCGCCCTCTCAGGCTCCACCAGCCACAGTCCTGTGGTCGCTCAGTTCCAGAGCTTTAGGAGCTCCGGATGGCATGACAGGTCTTTTAGAACAATGGTTCTCCAGGGAATTTCATCCCAAGTTTTGGGGATAAAAACCATGTTAAGGTTGGAACAAAACCCAGTCTGTCAGTGAGGTGTGAGAACAGCCATATCCGTGTACGGTGGATACACGGCGGAAAACCGAGGGAAGGGTGGGGTCTGGGGGCAGACGTCCCCAGCATGGGGGGGTGAGGCTTGGAGGCAGACACCCCTCCCAACCGCAGCATGGGAGGGGGGGGTTGAAAGGAGGACTCCCCTTCCCAGCATGGGGTTGGTGGGGAATGGAGGGGGAACCTGTCCCCCCAGCATGGGGGGGTGAACTTTAAAGAAGGAACCCCCGACATGGGGGGTGGATTTGGAGGAGGAACCCCCCAGTATGCAGAGCAGTTAATCCTTTATGAGCCAAATACACCAGCTCCTTTCAGACCATGGTTTCAGTTTTACCAGCCATTATTCTAAAATTTACACTTGGTCTGCTCTCCATGGGCAGGCAGCACAGTACTCTAACCTCCAGCCCCGCATCGGCACCAGCTGAGTATTTCAAACACGATTTGCGGACGCGGGTTTCTGTCACTCACCACGTGTGAGCTCTGGGCAGTTTGTCAGGACTCCCCCATTGCTCTATTGTAAACAGCTGAGGACCATTGGAACCTAGACCAAAAAAGAGAAATCAGTGCTGAGCGTGCTCAAGGTGGGAGAGCTAAGCTAAGGTGGGGCGGAAGGGAAGGAGGTGGGCGGCGCGTGGGGACAGCCTCCCGCCTCCAGGCAGCGCGATGACGTGCTGTGGGGGATGCAGGGGCCTAGACAGCCTCGCAGCACAGACCCCGCACCGCGTTCAGAATGGAGGCGCACCACGTTTAACAGCAAGCGCAAGTGCAGCCTTCCAGCCGAGCCCTGCAAGCTTACACAGAAAGCTATGGTGGGGGTGGGGGGTGAACTCCGGACTTTAAAGCATAAAAAGTGAGCTCCTAACAACTGTATATAGTAAGCTCTGAGGGGTTCTGTCTCCTCGAGGTAAGGAGCCCTTCAAGGGACACCAAAGCAGGAAACAAGAGAAAGAAAAGACGGGGCCGGGCGCCTGGGTGGCTCAGTCGGTTGAGCATCTGACACTTGATCTTTGGCTCAGGTCATGATCTCAGGCATGGGATCGAGCCCTGAGCTGACAGCATGGAGCTTAGGATTTCTCTCTCTCTCCTCCGCTGCTCACAAGCTCTGTCTCTCTTTCAAAATAAATAAGGTTTAAAAAAAAAAAAAGACCAATTTTTCTGTGTACTAAACCCAAAGCCCTCCCTCTGCCTAAGGCAACACCACAAACATTCCTGGAGGCAGCACAAAGTCACCTCCCCACACGAGTCCTTTGTGGGGACCTACAGGTGACACGGTCTGGGAGGCAGAGCTGCACGGGCCGCGGCGGAGCCCGGCTGGAAAGTCACAGGAGGAGAACTGGAGCCATCGGGACCCCGCTCACCGTACAGTTCGGCGAACCCATTCATGGGGACTCGGGACGTGCCGGTGACGAACTGCAGCAGCCGGATCCGCTTCTCTGCATCCATGAGCAGCACGGCCTGCGAACAGAGGCAGAGGGTCGTTAAACCCTGCGGGACACAGGCCACACGTCATCATCGACACCATGGCTGAAGACTGAGGCTGGTGACTGAAAACAGTGTGTTTTTCATGGGCCCCAGAGTTACCGCCCGTGTGATCTCAGAGAACGAGAGATCGAGACGTCTCTTTCTTCTGCCGACAGGTCAAAAGAAATGAAAGAGCAAACTCTTTGATGGCACGGAGCTCACGCGTCTGTGGGCGAGGTGTGCCCGTGCCCCCAGGCCAATTATAACCACCCCCCCCTTCCTCCAGGGTTCTAGAAGCGCCAACCACCGGGAAGCCCAGTTAGGAGGGGAGGTCTCAGACTGTAGACAAATCCTCTAAAGGTAACATTTTATAAAAAGAGAGGAAAGCAGAGGCCAGGATCGGCCTCTAAATTAACCCGTGTATGCTAGGCATCTGAATTATGACAAGAATCGCATACATAGACAGGTGGACTAGGCTTTGAAGACTCCGCTTTTAAAATCTTCTCTCTTCAGCTGGTTGAGCGTCCGACTCGGGTCATGAGTCTGGTTTCAGCTCAGGTCATGATCTCAGGGATCATGAAATTAAAAAAAGATTTGGGATTTCTTATTTCTGGAGGTAAATAATCAAGCCCCCCCCCCAGCCCTCCCCCCCGGAATTATTCTTTAGAAGGCAGTTTATGGTCTCTCCCTTGGTCTTACTTAACTCACTCCTATTTCGCTTCTCTTCTCAGTGAAAAAGAAAGCAATTGTTGGCCCTAAAACAGTAAATCAAATTTCACTTGCATCCTTGACTAAAGGATATAAAGATCAAAATATTTGTTGGAATTAACAAAAAAAAAAGGGGGGGTGGGGAATGATTTTTGAGCCAAGTGGCATCTTGGAACAGTCCATCCCAAAGCAAGTTTTGGCTCGAGAGGCTTCCCATTCTTCTACTTTGGTGGCCCAGTTCGGACCCTTGAACCCAATTACCTACTTCACTGTACTCAGTGGGTTCCTCAAATAAAGCCGCTTCAGTGAGGTGGTCAAGGAAGGACAAGGTGCTTTGACAAGGACGGACCGCGTACGGGGTGGCTGTCGCCTAGAGCGATGGGAGAGCAGCAGGCAGGGCTGCTTGCTCCCCCAGGGGCCCCAGTAGCAACAGGGTGCTGGGTCACAGAAGCAGGACCATGGGAAGGCAGCACAGGGCCCTGAGGCCCAAGCCAGGCCGGGGACAGGGATGGCCCCAGCAGCCATGGCCTCACCTTCCAGAACCACTGAATGACAGGGTGGTTTGGGCAGTAGCCATTCTTATAGATAGAATGTTGTCTCCAGTCATTCACGTCCACGTCGCCAAGGCCGCACATCAGCAACTAGGAGGGAGAAGCGAGACGTGAACGGGGCACGTGCGAAGGCCCAAGGAACCACCCACGGAGGAACGGCCTTTCCTCAACACCAGCACTGTGTCGGGGCGCCGGCAGCAGCTCTTAAGAACAGAGGACGGGGACGTCATTCTCCTCCACCTCAGGGAAGAGGCCGTGCAGGTAACGGGGACCCAGTTCTAAGGTGAGTTCAGGCCACAGCGGCTCTCGGTGCAAATGCCACCTGGCGTCTGTCTCCTGCCCACCCCACTAGTCTGAGCTGGGTGTTCAGATTTTCTTGGGCTTCGTCTACAGCTGCTCATTACTCCGGTTCCCTTGCTGAGAGGTTATGTGACTTGGTATCTGAAACGTCTCCTAACCCACAGGAGAATCAGTGCTTTATGGCCACCAGAGCCCCTCTCGGCCGGCTCGCTGTCCAGAAGCGCACCTATACTTCTGCGGTGACCGGGGCAGTCACCGGGGCACAGGTGTGCACAGCGCTCCTGCCGAGGCACCGGAGGAAAATGGAAGGAGAACTAAACCAGACGCCTGAGAATGGGTCCTGGGCCTGACTGTGCCCAAACCCTGGTGGCTAAACCTGGGAGGTCATGAATTGCTCCCTGCCTCAGTTTCCCCACCTGTAAGATGAAGGGATTACAATTTATGACTAACAGCATCTGCTTGAAGTTCCTATTTCAAGATGAAGGAACAGAAGGCTAGTCTATGAGAAATGCTCCCTGGCTGTGGTGGCCGGGACGGACGGGGACAGCTTCTGAGCTGACACAGTCTTCCTCCTCCTGCTGCTCTCGGCAGAACAAAGGGTGAGAAATTGCTGGTGCTTTTGAATTTGATAGTTCTCGTCTCGGTCAACACAAAGAAACTGGAATAATCCCATACAAACCGCCTCCTGCGACTGCCTTGTTGTCTTCCAAAATTCTCCCTTACTCAATATAAACAACGTCAAGTTCACAGAGGCACGGTTCCTCGGCCCCCGATGTTCACGTCCTGGCCAAGGCCCCATCCGGCTACCCCCGTATGGGCAGGAGGCCCAGGATCTCAGCAAGCCCAGCCAACGGGCTATCTCAACCTTGACTCTCTCAGCAGCAATCTTCCTCGCCCTGTGCACCTGGCCATGAACCCAACTCAGCTCAGCGGCCTCTACTTATCCTGTGTGTCCCAGAACTGCCCTCTCCTGAGTGAGGAAGCGACAGGGGACTGCTTTTACTGTTCCCTACTCGAAGAATGACAGCCTGTAAGGGACATCTATAGTGCAATCCATCTAAGCTTACTCCCTAAACCCTGTGGACCAGAAAATAAAATCTCAGTTGTGAAGCAGTGGAGACCACTTTAAAAATACCCACTTTATACAGAATGTTTAAAATACAAACCTCCAGCTCATTCTCGTCAAAAATTTTAATCAAATCAATCGGAAGCAGTTCTGTGAATCCCTGAAAGAAAGGAAGAAATCGCCTTAAACACCTTTTTCCTTGAAAGAGACAAATTTTACAGAAAAAACAAAACAGCCAGAAAACACACATTCTTTGCTGATGACTTAGGGATCAGCAATAGTATCCAGCAACTGTAATTCCCATGCATATAGCAGAGTCATGATATAAAAAGTTTGAAAAGCGGGGGAATCTAGAAGGTTCAGATATTTGAGTCATTTCAGAAATGCTTTGAAAATATAGGTTACTGTAGGCAGGCGAGTTCCAAAAGCCGCCTATGACAGCTATGAGTCAGTGTGCCCTAAAACGCACAAGCCACGGATGTGCAAGAGAACATGTTTAAAAATAAGGTGCTGAAGGCACAGAGAGGAAACACAGGCGGTGGCGGTGTGCTCCGGGGCAGGAGAGAGGAGCACAGAGATGCGGCTCCAGCCCCGGTGAGCGCTGATAGCTGGGGTGGCCGCTCCCTGCTGCTGGGTCCCCATGCACCTGGTTTCTGGGCACGGGATCACCCGGAGCAGGGCCAGGAACCTGCCTCCTGGGGTTCTTATGTAAACAAAGTATAAAACTTGCTGCCCCCTTGTATGTCTAACTCAACCTTTTATGCCGTAAGTCCCTGAATTTTGTGAGTGGCCTTGGGCTTTACTTGCTGCTGGAGGTGACGCGCTGGGGCATGCTGGGGAGGGCGTCACCTAAGGAGGACCCTGCACTGGTTCAGTGGAAAATTTATAATGTGCACCTGGGGCTCGTTCCTCGGTTCTCTTTAACGTAACTAAAGCGGTTATCGAGACTAAAAACGAATTTCGCTTTTGGTCAAAGTGAACCATTATTATATGAATCCCCCCCACCCTCGGCGAGGGGTCTGGGAGCACTACTGATGTGAAGGATTTGGATCTGAGGAGCGTCTGCTTCACCCCTTAACGGGGTGACAGCTGGCACATGACGGCCTGGTGTTCCGATAAAAACCCAGCCGAAGCAAATGTGTTTCACGTGTACGTGTGTGGAAGTCTGTGAGGAATTAAAGCAGCAGCAGCAGAGCAAGAGAACACCGGTCGAAAGAAAGGGTGGCCCACGGGGTGAGCCGTGTGGGCCCAGCCTTTCTGTCGTGCATCCCCACTCCCTCGCCCATCTTTCGGTTTGCAAACATTGCCCCCACGCCACGCCACGCCACGGAGGAGAGCCATCCTCCCTCAACCGAGGACTGACGGCGCACAGCTTACCTCCAAGAAGGCGTTCATTTGCTTCTGGACCCTGTTCACAAACCTCCACTGGATGACTAGGCTGCAGGAGAAATGAGACAGTATTTAACCACTCTCATCAGCATGGGCACACGCTGGTTTCTTCACACCTCCTCAGCAGGTGAGGGGAAGGAGGGGAAACGGGGGCGTCTAGCGCTGTGGCACCGTTAACTCATTCTTTCAAGAGTAACTGGAACGTATGTGGGAAACCTAAAATCTGAGCATTTAAAAAATAATTTATTCCCCTCAGCCAAGCCTTAGTTTACCAATGTTGCGTATAAATGTGACCACGTGGAGAAAAGGGATAAAAAAGGTTGTGGAGTAAGAACGTACATGCGCACAGTATGTGTATACACACATGAACTCACACCCACATATGTATAAACATGTACATACATTTTCATTTTTTATTTTAGGAGGGAGGGGGGAGAAAGTGAGAGTGCGCACGTGCAAGTGAGGGAGGGGCAGAGAGAGAGGGAGAGAGGGAATCCCACACAGGCTCCGCACTGTCAGCACAGAGCTCGATGTGGGGCTTGAACTCACAAACCTCGAGATCATGACCTGAGCCTAGGTCGGAAGCCTAACTGACCGAGCCGCCCAGGTGCCCCAACACGCACGTATATTTTTAAAAACAGTCCTCAGTACAACATACCCTGTGATATGGTACGTTCTGTTAGCCAGTGTACTGGATTCCAACGGCGCATAACTTATCAGCAGTATAATTTACACTAATCCTTTAACACCAAAACTTGGAGCCTTAATGGTAAGGCCTCCTTAAGTAACAGAAATCCAGGGGCGCCTGGGTGGCTCAGTCGGTTGAGCGTCCGACTTTCGCTTAGGTCATGACCTAAGCGGTTCGTGGGTTCGAGCCCCGCGTCGGGCTCTGTGCTGACTGCCGGCTCAGAGCCTGGAGCCTGTTTCAGTCTGTGACTCCCTCTCTCTCTGACCCTCCCCTGCTCACGCTGTCTCTCTCTCTCCTAGAAATAAATAAGACATTAAAAAAAAAAAAAAAAGTAACAGAAATCCACTGCGACCATTTTCTCTGTGACAAGGTTTAGTGTGCGGCAGAATTTACTGCACCGTGAATCCATGCTGGGTTCCAGTGAAAGCATTTTGCCGTGGGACGGCTTGAGGGCCTTGTCAGAAAGGCCGCGGCCCTACCACGTGGCACCACGGCAACGGGCGCTGAGGTCCCGTCCCCTGCACAGCCACGGCTCGGACACATCAGGCCTCTGCACCTGCTGCCTGAGTCACCTGAGAGCCTTCTTGTACCCGGGGGGACCCGTGTGTCAGGAAGCAGGTGGAGACGGCAATCATCCTTTCTTTTCCCACCACATTTGAAACCTCAAACTGCAAAGAACGATGTTCAACATGCATCACAGTGTCCCAACCCTCAGACTGCTGACCCCAGGCCCCTCCAGGGGCAGCGTTTTTAAAACATCCATTCAAAGTCTTCGGATGAAGTCTTCGAATGAAGACAAAGGCACGTGCTAAGGTGTCATCATGCCTGAGACTGTCCGAGTTCAGAACAAGTGTGGCAATTAACATGAACAGGTAAGAACTGCAGGACCTTACGCTTTTTTTGTTTGTTTGTTTTACTCATAAGCATAGCAAACTTTTAACCTGTGAGGGGAGAAGCCTGCTATGTAATAGTGCACATGCGCTGCAAGGGCCTCTAGGCAGAGGCCCCAACACGCTCTGTCTCTTCCTACTAAGGAAGGACAGGTTTTTCTTAGTGGAGGACACTAAAAGATGCCCAGACTCTCGGCCAATTCTCTAAGTTCAAGTCCTCTGACCAATGATGCCGAGAAGAGAGGAAGGAACCAGCTGGATGAGATGGAGTGCCAAACGCAGATACAGGGCTCAGGCCACCGCTGCAACCGGCCCAGAGCAGGACCTGGGACCCAGGAAACCAAACGGCTGCGCCGACCCTAGTGAGAAAGATCCCAGACTTGTGTGCTTGAGGCGCACACGCGTACCAAGGAGGAAAATGTAATGTGCCCGACAGGCAAAGGCCTTCTGGCTGGTATAAAGGCCCGAGGATTACTTAACAGCTGGATTTCCAAAGGACTAAACGTTTTGTTCCACCAACCGAGGCTGAGATCAGGTTAAGAAAATTAGAGCGATCAGAAAGAATTCATTATGTTGGCACATATGAGTTTCCCTACTCATTTTAACTCTTTTCTTTCATTTTTTGATGGAAAAGAGGTCGAGGGAGATGGAATATTTTATTTCTGGTTGTTCCTAATTTTACCCCACTGGCTGTTGGCACCATGGTTCATCACTGCCAATCTCAAGTTTAGACCACTCACCCACACACTCCCAAAGCGTGTTTGCCATATTACTCAATACTGTGTACTTTTTTTCTCCTTTTGTGACTCCTTTATGCAAGGCAGCTCACTGAAGTCATGATCCAAGTCAAACTTTCCATCCTGTAATTCAACTTCCTATTAGCCCAAGCCACAGAGGAATTCCCAGTGTTGAAAGCATGCCCCTGACACACATGAGCTGTCTTGGTAAAAAAAGGACACCAACCAAATATGCTGCTCAATGTAATAAAAAGAGAAGACTGTAAATATGTGTATACGTACTCAATATATTCCCTTTTGTTTTCATTTGTTACCATTATTTCGGACCCATTGGGCTTCAGATCCACTTGATAGGTCTGTAATTGCAAAGATAAGACAACGATCACCATCATGAAGTTATTTTGCACGTAAGTGAGTAATAACGTCTTACTACAAAAGGAAGATAAGCAAAATTCATTCAGAAACATTTTCCAGCAAATGGGCTCTGCGTACAAAAGATTATCTAATGAGGCTTTTACATTGTTGAGATGTTACACATTGAAAGATGTTATCATCAAAGGTGAATTATTTTGTGGTTATCTAAGAGTTTTAATTGTTCTTCTACATCACCAACAATGGAGAAGAGCAACATTTTTTCATCTGCTATCATTCATTTCTCAAGCAATTAATTACGTTTCACAGAAGAGACAGGGTACGCTCATCAAGACTACAGAGATCCAAGTTCTAAGGCACTTTGTTTCCGAGAATTAGATTTTATATTCATAAAAAAGGATGCACGGAGTTTCTTTCAAAAAGGCAAAGCACAGGGCCTTAAAAAAATAAAAGTAGCTTCAGGAGCAAGGTTGAGGGATGGATTTTCCTGCTGTTCTGAGAAGCCCTGGGCCTTCTGTGCATCTGGACACCTCCTGGCCTACAGCCCGGGCAAGCTCCCTCCCACAGGGCCGCCCAGGATTGTAAGAGCAAAGCAGCTGAAAGCGAGTGTGGCCTTGTTCTGACCTTCAGGCCGGCCCTAACTCAATATCATGGTGTATAAGGCAATAACTAGCAGAAACCAAGGGAGGGAGGGATCTACTTAATGCTTACTCTTAGAGAAATTTTACAGAAAAAAAAAAAAAAGAAAAAAGAAAAAATACCACCCCCAAGTCCCCTATTCAAAGACAGCCGCATTGATGTTTTGCTGGGATCCCTTTCTGCCCCCCCCCCCCCAACCCCCGCCCATGAATAACTGGTTATTTCTGAGAATGAGCCAAGCCTGTGGAGAAGGTTTCGCAGAGTTTCTGGGTCCCATCCATCACAAGGGATAGAGATTCCAACCTGTTATGCCATCTGCTTTGGCAGAGGTCACACCCAGGGACACACTGAGCCTCTCTGACCCGAACCCTGAGACCCTGCTCTCCGGATCATGCACTTGATTACTGCTCTTGCTCACGATGCGACAGCTTTCTCAGTCAAAGCCCGTTGGTTATCGGTCTTGTCCCTTTACATTTTCCTCTTTTTCCTACTTCTCTTCATTTCAGGGAGGGATCCAGTGTCCCCACCACACGACTGAACTCCCATTTTCTACGATTTTCACTTCAGCTCTTGATCGGCCGTGATATGGATTAATTATTGCATTTTTAGTTTCCTCAAGCCCTTCCTGACTGCCCACTTTCCCCTTCCCCACACGGTGTTCCTATCTCCCTGTGGCTGTCTGACTCTGTCCCGTAAGTGCCATGGCGACCTTCAAGGGTGGTGGACAGTTGTGTGTAGGGTGTGAGGTGGGCACATTAATTTTTTTAAATCTTTACTTTTGAGAGGGCATGAGCAGGGGAGGGGCAGAGAGAGAGGGAGACACAGAATCCCAAGCAGGCTCCAGGCTCTGAGCTGTCAGCACAGACCCCGACACGGGGCTCAAACCCACAAACCGTGAGGTCATGACCTGAGCTGAAGTCGGACTCTCAACCGACTGAGCCACCCAGGGGCCCTTGGTGAGCACGTTTCTTGGCAGAAAACCTTTTCAGTTCTTTGACAGCTCTCTAGAGATTTGCGGACAGTATTCATTTATCCTGCTGCACTTTTTGGTAAGCCCTCGATGGTTTTTCCTTTCTCCATTTATTCCTCCTCAAAGACTGCACTGCCGTTCCCTTTCAGTAATGGAGTCTTCCCATCACATCCACACCGAGCAAGTTAATAAATCCAAGCCCGCTTCCTGGGACTGAGCGGTCTTATGCACAGTTCGGCAATACCAAGATAGAATTTTTTTCCAGGGGCTGCAGTTTCCAGCGAGCTCTGGAATGAGAGGATGAACCAGAGAGAGGGCGGGCAGAGAGTGGAAAGGAGAAAAACACCTCTGGGGCCTCTGAAAGGAACATGTAGTGATGAAAAGGGCAGTCAGCCAGCAGTGCAGACTGGAGAGAAATGGTTCTTCCCCACCCTGTTGGGGGAGTCTAATTACTCCAACCTTTTGGGAAAATAATTTGGCAACAGGCATCAATTTTAATGGGCACAGCATTCCCTGTCATAATACTTTCTTTTAGAATTTACACCAAGGGGGGGAAAATTGGTCAAATGTATAAAATGTATACTCCGAGATTATAATTATGCGGCCTATATAGCAAAATAACGAAAGCGCCTAGCAACGGGGCATGGTTACAAAATGCACAGTCTAGGAAATGGAATTCAGTGTAGCCACTTTAATGGAATACTTCAGCATTTCCTGACATGGAAAGGTACCTAGGGCATATTCACAGTGGACGTATGCATCGTGCAATCCCATTCTGTAAAAATAAAACATCTTGGTGTGCATGTGTTTACAAAGAGTAATTCTGGAAGACATGCATCAAAACTTTAATCGTGAATCTTCTCTAGGTAAGAAACTGGATGATTTTTATATATAGTTATCGTACTGCTTTGATGTTTACTATTTAAGTCAGTATTCTGTAATCAGATAAACGACTATAACTGTTGTGGAAGGAAAAAAGAGGGATCATGCTGTCTGCTAAGTAAGGAGGTCAGGCAGGCAGTGACTGTGGGCAGTGGTTTGGCTTCGCAGTGAATTTTTTTTTTAAAGTTTTTACTTTATTTTGGAGAGGGAGAGATCACGACGTGAGCCAGTCAGACGCTCAACCGACTGAGCCGCCCAGGCGCCCCCTCGTGGTAAGTTCTGATGGCGGGTGTCCCTGGGAGGCAGTGCCGGGTGCGCCAGGGCAGGCAGGAGGGGATGGTTTTCAGGTCTTGCTCCCAGAGCCTGGCAATCGGGGTCTCTGAGCCCAGGCTCTCGGTGGTGCTCCAATCCTGTCCTGCCTGAGCTGCTCACAGACAACATTTTAGTGGGCAGTAGCGGCTGCTGTTACAATTCCACTTTTTAAACTGACTTCCGAGGGCCAAACACAGATGGCTTCCTGCGGTCCAGGCACAGTGTTAGGCTCGTCCCAGGGGACATCACTAAACTATCCCAACAAGGAACGTGCCATTGCCTCCATTTGCTCATGGATCCGGCGACTCTGCAGAAGTGGAGAGAACCAGGGTCAAGCCCAAGTTCATCTGATTGCAAAGCCCACAGCCCTGCGGTGGCATCTGCTTGAGCCCCTGCACATAGATTACTTGGGCCAGCCTCCATCTCTGCCCACATGCGTCCAACCATCGTCCTATGCTGCTGTCCTGTTCGTGGGGTCCCCCACCCTTCACACTTTCTAAGTCAGACACAGTGGCTCCAGGAGGGCAAGGGCTCGTGCTCCTGACGACTGCACGGCAGCCCAGCTGGGCGAGAGAAGCAGGTTTGTCCATCAGGGCTCGTCCTGACTCCCCAGTCCCACGGGCCACATTACAGGGCCACGCTCAAGTGTTAACGGTGCTTCAGAGGCGGCGGCTGACGCCTAGCGCTCTGACACAGGCTACGAAGGCCCTGGCAGACGGAGCCAGCGTGCTGCTCCCTGTGTCCTCTGTGCCTCTTCTCTGGGGTGGCTTCCTGCCACCCTGTGTCCCCATTATACAGAGTACACACTTCCTCTGCGACACTGGCTTCTGGGCCAGTGTCCTTGCTGTCTTGTGTCTGAACTCAAGGACCCAATGAGAACAGCAGTAACACAGTGCCTGCACACAGTCTGTACTTCGGGAAAAATTCTCTCCATCGAGACTGTGAATTCGATCACAGGAAACTCTCAGGACATGGGACTCTCACGGAACGTGGCAAGTTCAAACTCTGGCTTCACACGTACCCCCAGATCTTTCCAGGATGACTTATGTCGAGTGTCTGAAGAGTCTGCTGAGAATCCGGTGGGTCGTATCAAGGGTACCGGCTGCGGGCGGAGCAAGGTGCAGCTGCTTCTTGCCGTATCCTTGGGCAGTGCACATGCTGGGCAAACGGCCGCCTGGTGGCGGGTCAGGTGCCTCACGAGCCCTGTGGGATGGGCCTCGGGGGCCAGGCCGCCTCAGCCTCCCTGGCCTCTCCAAGCAGACATGAATATGGGTCGAGACTCCTGAGTGAACCTGCCCTTCTACCTTCGCGTTTCCCGCAGCTGCCACCTGTGCACCTCCCGGACCTGGAATCTGAGGAGCCAGGGCACCCTTCCGTCCCGGAGTCGCCTGCGCATTACGCTCCGGGTGTGGTGTTTCTGGGCGTCTGCCAGGACCTTGCCCCGCGTGTCGCTCATCTCTCCCATTTCTAATTTCTGCCTTTCACTCATTCCTGTCCCCCGTGCGGACTTGCTCAGCCTTTTTTCACGCCCGACCCCTGAAGGGCCCTGAGAGCCCCCTCCCCCTCCCTTTCTTCCCATTAAATCTCAATAAACAGATCCGCAGGACGCCTGTGGTACATACCGGAGCCTTTCGGGAGCAGGGCCACAAACCACTGTAATGGCTGAGACTCTTGTCCTCTAAGAACTAGATTTTACCGCCCTGGGGGTGACATCACCCCAGCTGAGAATGTACGCCTCATGTATGCAGGCCGCTGCTCATTCTGTCCCTTTCCTCCTACACGGCTTTGCAAGAGTCCACCTCTCCTTCCGGTGCCTTTTCCAAACAACTGGATCAGATGCTCATTTGCTGAGCTGGCAGTAAAGAATTTCTACTTGATGTGACTCTGAAAAAGTGACGTCTCCTGTGGGCTCTGGGCGCACCGGGTGCCCAAGTGCGTGGTGTTTCCTTCTGCCAGGCACACGAAGATTGCTCAGGTGCTGTAACCTGTTCAGTGGAAACATTCCTAAGAGGCCCTGGAAACCAGCGGCTCCAAACTGTCACTGGCCCGGATGGAAGCAGATGGCACAATAATGACAGCAGCTGCAGTTTCTTTCCACAACATGACGACTGCCACCCAGCTCTGTGGCTGAGGTTTCCAGCTGTGGGAGGAGAACACGGCGGACAGCACTGAGGACGGCCCGCCGCCCGTAGGCTCCACTTGGGTGGTGACTTCTCGCCACTGAGGACAGGACTGTGTTTTGGCACAAGGGAGGCGTGAGCTTCCTCTTAGGTTCAAATAAATGGCGATGTGCGGTGCACAGCTTCGCAGGGGGCCTGAAGAGGGGAGACGCTTGCACATCGGTGGAGGCCCACGCTGGTCTGGAGTGTCCGCTCAGCACCAGACGCTGTGCAGGTGAGTACACAGTGGTGAGCAAACTGCACACCCAGGGTTGCAACTAGGCTGCATTTAAGGCTTCCACCAAAACATACAGCGAACCGCACAGCCGGCAGTGCTGTAGGCCACGGGGAGACAGGCACATACTCTGAAGGATTATGGCCAGGGATCAGGGTCGGTTTCCTGCAGGTAGGAGGCAGTATGTTCCCAAAAGACGGAACAGCATGAGCAAAGGTCCTGAGGCGAGAAGGAACCTGGTGTGCTCACGAAGTCCAATGAGACCAGACGCATGAGGAGCAGCTCAGTGATGCAAAATACCACCTGAACACAGAGCAGATGGGGCAAGGCCATGCAGGACCTCATGGGGCCAGAGAGCTGGACCTTTATCTTCTGCTGTTTCTGGCAGAGGGATGACATGACGGTTTGTCCATCCTGAAAAGACCAGTCAGCCATGATAGGAGGCCAAGCTGGATAGAAAAGCCCAGAGAGGAGTGGACGAGACGAGCTGGTAGCTTAGACGGGGGTGCTGGGGTGACGGACACGGAGAACAGAAGGATCTAAGATGTATTTCGGCGCTGAAGTGAACAGGGCTTGGGGAGGGAATGGAAATGGGAGATGCGATCCATACATATCGATCTTACTCCCCTAAGTTCCCTCTCAATTTCTTCCCAGAATGCAAAGTAGAGAACATGAGCTCCCTGTTAATCAGCCTGGCTTTCTTTTTTTTTTTTTTTTTTTTTTTTAATTTTTTTTTTTTTTTT